CGTCTCCACTTGCTCCTCCTGCAGTCCGCTCTGGTAGAGCTGGCACTGCTGCTGGTACTTGGCCAACAGCTCGGAGGTCTTGTTGAGCGCCGTCTGCGAGAAGTTGAGTGGTTGGGGCAGCAGACTGGGGTAGAACTGCAGCGACTTGAAGAGATTCTCCAGGGGCGAGGTGCCCATTCCACTGGAGCTCACCGAGCCCAGTTTGTTGGCCAGGAGAGGGGTGTTCAGTGCGGCGCTGGGCAGCTGGGGCAGGGGGAGGGCATGGCTTGGAGTGGGCGTGTGGGAGGGCGTGAGGGTGGGCGTGGGTGTGGGAGAGGGAGTGCTGGGACGCTCAAACTCAGAGGACTTCTCGTTCGCCGCATCCATGTAGGTGCCACCTCCACTTCGCGCTGTTTTTGGTAGCTGCTTGGATTTGTGAGATCACCAAGAAAGGCGCATGAGCATCAGAAATACTACAAGTTTATTTAAATAACTTAAACTTAACTTTTTTATTATTATACTTAAATGCTTGTGTTCATGATGTTCTCATAATGCTCGGAAAATCGGCTTAAATAACTTTTAAGCAATATGAACTGCTAAGCTAGCTAGCTAGATATGGAGGTACTCACATTGTTGTTCTGGACATCGGCCAGTCCCTTGATGCCCAGTGTCTCGGCCAGGTTGAGCAGCATCGGAATCTGCTCCTCGTATACATTCACCTCGCCGGAGTACATGAAGGTGAGCAGAGAGACGATGGCGCCGAAGCTGGCCCCGGGTATAATGATGACTGGGTGGTTGCTGGCCTCCAGTGCGCGGAAGATGTCCATAAAAAAGCTGCTGCAGGCACTCAGAACCACGCGATGGGCCCTCAGCTGGCGTCCCTCGGCCGAAATGGTGACATCCGTCAGATGGGACTGGTCCAGCAGAATGGGCAGGGTGCTCAGCAAGCTGGTCTGGAAGGGATCAGAGGCGATGGAGATGGGGATGTGAAAAGTGCTCACAAGTGGGTCACACGATCATAAAAATACAATTTCCTGGGCCCCATGATGCTCTGCCTCTGGTGAAACTGGGGACAGGGGTTGGCTGCAGCTGCTTTCCAAGTTTTCGATTTACGCTCTGTGGAAATTCTTTGGATTTTGGCAATTGCACGAATCTGTTCACTTATGTGACACACACACACAGCAAGACCCCTCCTCACTGCTCTTTGTCCATTTGGCTCTTCTGCTATTTTGGACAGCCAGTTTCACCGCCGCCCCGCTTTCACCACAGTTCACCCTTTGGGCCGAAAAACAAAAATTGTCACTATATGAAAATGCGGAAAACTATGTGTGAATCGGTACGTATACGGGGATGTGTTTGGATAGATGGATCCTATATATAGATGGGGCGACATTTTGCTTTGGCCTGCTCGCCTCACTGCACGATGTCCAGTCCGTTTTAATGGGTCTTACTTAGCAGGTAATGTAATAACAAAAAAGCGTAATAAAAATTCAAATGGTCTAGATCTGGAGGATCTCACCTGATGGTTGTGCCATCGCAGGCAGAACTGCTGTTGGCTGTCATTGTGCTGCAGCTGCTGATCAAAATGATGATGCTGCGGTTGTCTGGCATTAGTGCTATTTACATGTTCCATAATTCATCTGGGTTTGGATCACATGGACCAGCTGCAACGGAAGGAGGAGGTGAATGCAATTAGTGAATGTGCAAGATGTCCGATGTCGGGTAGGTAAACAAATTCAATTCGCCTTGCCCCAGCCCACTTGGCTGCTTTGTTTTCGTCTCTCATAATTTGTTTGTTTGCATTTCGGTTTGTTTATTTATTGAGCGTTTTGTCACACACACTTTTCGTGGCTGCTCTTCGCGGCCGCGAAGACGAAGAGCGTCTGCACCACGAGGCGTATACGTATTATGTCGTAGCAGTTGGCTTATTACTCATACGCCCCGTTACGCGCTATCTTGCTGGCTGCGGAGGCTTGTCATTGGGGACCGGGAAGCGGCATAATTTGATTTAATGACAGCCCGATCCATCTTTAGATTGCTGCCTGCTCCTCCAAGGTATCCGGATTGTGGTCCGTGCGCTCCTCCGTTCTGATGACCAAGTCAACGGACTGATTTACTCGGCCGTTTCGGTGAGTGCCCAGTTGACGAATCGGAATTACAATAAAACTACACATACAGCGAGACGCACAGACACGGCCAGTGTTATTTGTGTTCTTTGCTGGCAATTAAACTAAATTTATTTAAATAAAATAAGTTTTCCTTGGCTGGCCTGGCCTGGGCGATCTGATCGCAGTGCCGCTGTGGGTTTCTGGGTGCACTATAAATTTGGCAATTTCCATTGTTCGGATCGCATGTGATGCACTGGGCGGGCGGGCGGTTCACACTTTTGTCCGAGGGCTATTTATAAGAAGCTAGTCCAAGGAAGCTGGGGTGGGTATGTCGGTATGTGGGGGATTTTGGGGATTTTTCGGTCTATGCTGCTGCTGATTCTGATGCTGCTGCTGCTGCTGCTGCTGCAGCTGCCGACCATTGGAGGCCCCCCAAAACCAATGCAAATCCGCAGCGAAGTGACAAGTCCGAGTCTTTTGGTTTTCTTTGCACTTTAGCTAGCCCAGCGTGCAATTGTTGGACGACGGAATTTTCTTCATTCCATTATGTGTGCACATGGGACTGAGAATCGCATCTAAGCATTTCTCTATTGAGAGACGATGGATGGTGGAGGTTGCCTTGCCGTGCCTTGCCTTGCCTGATGGGGTACAATGGATGCCTGGCTATGGGATTGAGGGATGGGGATTGGGGATGGGCATGGGGATTGGTGGATGGTGGATGGGGACACGAGATGGAGGGTCGGAGGAGGCGAGGCGCGGCCTTTTTGGCGCTCGTTCACACAAGAAAGTGTTGTCGTGACAGTCAGGCAGCCTTCTTTTCCGTAACTCTTTGGTATTTCGCTCAGTTTTTACTTGATTTTCCGAAATTAGTTTTTCAGCCTTTCAGCTCGCCACCTCCTTCTCCTGCTCCGTCCTCTGGCTGTTGTTTTAAATAGCCATCCAAAAAATAAAGATCTGTGCTAAACGCTCTCCCCATGCTGTCTATTTTGATTTGTTGTCCAAGTGCCTGCCTTTTGTCATCCATGGCAATTCATTCCAAAGCACCTCGCAATCGTTTTCATTTCGATTTGGATTGGGATTTGGCTTTGGCTTTGGCTTTGCTTTTGGTTCACTTCGAAGCTATTCCGTTGATGCGTAATATTTTACACATAATCACTCATACGCCGCGTTGAGAATGCTGATTGGGAGGTGGATGGAAAATAAAATCTTGCTTAAGCCTTCGCTGCGGTGGCTATGTTATTGTTGTTTAACTTTCATTTGTTCCATGAAATGTGGCGCACATAAATTTGATGTCAACGCTGTTTTTTCCGAGTGGTTTTTGAATTTCAATATAGAATTCGCACGATCAGCGGTCTATATGTGGCTGTGAATCACGCATAATCCAGTGGCCCAGCCTATCTGCCCCTGGGGAAGTCTAATAATAGAGTCTATGGCTAACCCTTATAGCTGAAGATCTTAGATCGACTTCTTTTATGCTAATGGGATGCTCGTGGCGATCTTCAAATTTTATATTTCGCCTCAACTCGTGTTTTATGTAGTGCTTTTATGACACGCAGTTATTTATCTATCTTTCAGATTGAAGATCCCCCTTTGATCTCTCAACGACATTACACAATTTACTTAAATAAGTTAATCACTCGGTTCTATGATTTCGCACTGGCTACTCGTTAGAGGAGTCCTTCACATTCTTGTTTTGTTTTATTTGCTGCTTTTCACACATATTTTGCTAATGCCATTTTCCCCGCGTCCGTTACGAATTTTCCCTTTCGCGATTTTCGCGACGGGACAAGCGTGCACCTTTGTTAACCGTTTGCTGCTCGCATCTGAAATGAAAAAATCCGAAAATGTTTCAATTCTTTCGGTTTAGTTGGAGATTTTCTATTTTTCGAATGTCCATCTCTTGACAATTTTCCTCTATCTCGTGTTGCTGTTTTTGCTGTTGTTGCTGCTGCTGCTGCTGCTGCTGCTACTGTTGGTGTTGCTGTTGGCCCAAATGTTGTTGCTGCTGCTGCTGTTGCCATTTGTTTAGCGGATTCGAATTTGGCTCTCAGCATGTCGGGCAGATCCGTTTGTCGCCCGATTCCATGTTCTTTAATTAATGAGCAGGCCGCCTCGGCGCAGCAAAGAGAAATCTCAGCGGTTTTGTACTCGCGATCAGTGCAGCCTCTTGGCCAAAAATTAATTGGCTGCCCCGCAGTTAGTTAATCAAAACATTTGCCAGTGGCAAATCATCATGAGGGCATCATCATCATAATCAGGAACTGCGACCACTCCGCCTCTAGACACAATTGACACGACTGGCCGACAGGCGAAGGAATTTGCTGCGGTTGCTGCTGCGGGATCATGTGCATTATTAATTTCTAATAAAATGTGGAAGCGGCGACAGCAGTTGCCGCCGTTCGAAAATTGCCCGCCGAAAATAAATTCATATACCTGCGCGTCGGATTGGTGAATTATGCCTGACAAATACAAATGGAACCGCCAGATGGAGACGCCGTTGGCCATCGGGCACCCAGCACCTTCGTTATGCACTTTTCAATTCATTAAAATGCCACAAATACTTATTTATTATTGTCATCTGTGCGCACCTCGATTTGGGTTAGCAGCCGCGTAGCTTGGAGGCTCTAAATAGTCCAATGTGCTCTAATATGAGCCCTTCACTCGAGGATTATTCCTTACACAAAACGACGTTAAATGTCAAAGTACCACTAAGCTATATCAAGTTGACTGACCATAGAAATGCACATGTAATTAAAGTACACACTTCGGGAACAAAAACAAAATGTATGTAGGAAATTATTCATTTACTTTGATCATCTTCAAAACTAAAGCATCATCTTGAGTACATATATAAATGTTTGAACAATAAACTAGAGGAAGAGGTAACTGAAAGTGGTATCTGTAAAGATAAATCTAGTGGCGGTAACTAAAGCAATGAGCCTCGCCGATCGGCCTGCATTGCTTTGTGGGAAGGTCCCAGCCATGCTTGTAAGGACACCTCACAATGGTCAGATAACCGCTGAGGCATCTGTAGTAGTACTCGCACCGCTGGGGATGAGGATGGTCACCATCGCCGGATGCGTCGCAGTGCGGCCTTTCCAGAGCTGGAGAGGATGGCTTAGGAGATGTCGGCAGTGGCGTAGTCACCGATTCTGCAGAAGGTGTTGCAGGATCTGCAGCTGAAGTGGAGGAATCCGCAGATCCCGTAGAGGCGTATTCAGAAGCCGGTGTTGAAACGGCAGTAGTTTGCTCCTCGGGCAGGACTAGATCCGGGTTCCTGAGGCACACACCCTCGTCATCAAAGGCACACTCTTGGGTGCGGTCGTCGAAGTAGGTGGACTCGGGGCAGCTGTCTCGGAAGGAGTCCTCTCCATTGCAATAGATGTATGAAGCGCAATCTTCGATGGCCATGACAAAGGTATCCAATGGAGCATTGGCGCACTGCGGGAACGTTTCGGCTTTGGTTGAAGCTAGGTATCCTGTCAGGATCAGCAGACTGAGCCAAGATACTTCAAATGACATGGTGGTATTCAGCTGGTTCACTTTATTGATAGAGATGTGGTTTGCGTTCGCCTTTTATGCCAATTTTTCGAGCTTGACTGCGAAACTCTTATCGTTAAATTGTAGTTGATATCTTCACAAATAACATGTTGCCAATTTGTATCTTTCTACCCATAATTATGTCAAGGGCGTCCAATGATTCTGCTATGATAAAGCATTATCAAAGTAAATACTTTTAGGCATTTGACAGCGTTTTTATACTCTTTCCAAAAGCAGCACCTTTCACTTGTGATTTACCATATTTAGCTAAATAGTTCAAGAAATTGAAATACGAATAATACCTTAACATATTAAGAATGCTCTTTATCGCCTTTTTAAGTGCGTTGATGGAAAATCTTCTACCTATAATATTCAGGCACAGAAATATTGATTTAAGCTAAGCATTTATTTTTGTTGACAATTTTTGATAGGCGACTGTTCCAAATTGTGACTCTTGCTTCAAATACACGTTCGCCAGCGATAGCCTGCTGAGGTCGTAGTCCAGCACATCCAATTGCTGCTCCAGTTGTCTCTTGAGATTCCGGACTCGCAATGTGCCCATGGAAAGCGGCAAGCGGTTGTATTCGGCAATCAATTGGTTTTGCCGCTTACGGGCGGCATCCATGAGGAGCATTCTCTGCTCACTGGTAAGCAGGATGGGCTGGGACTCCTCACCTGACTCCGTCTGGGAGTTCTCCTGTGGTTGGACCTCAGCTTCCTTGCGCTGCACATCTAAAACAGAAAGATCTGCACAGGACTCCTGCGAGTGCACACTTAAGACATCCTCCGGGTTCACATCCACCACCTCAGGAATGTCCATTTGGCGTACTCTTGGAGAACTCGTCTTGACGGAATGCGAACGGAGAGATGCCTCATCATCCTGTTTTCGGTTGGAAGAGAAACAGTTGTCCAGGTAATTCAAACCGCCGGGCAAAATGCCGAACGCGTTAGCTAACGGCCGGTGCATTATGTACTGCCCCGGCTGATAGCCATCGCGTTGTTCCGGCATTTTGCCCAGCTCAAAATTGGACGCAGTGCGTCGCAGCCGTAGTCTGTCATCCCGAAACTGTTCTCCTCCGCCTTCCGCTGGATCATCGCCCTCGCTACGGGACTGCAAGTGGGGTTGGGTCTTATCCGAGCACTTGAGCAGGGCGGCATTGAGAAACCGCTCATCGCTGATGTCCTCTGTTTGGATCTGCTTCTCGGATAGCTTCCGTTGACTGGGAACAACTTTAGCCGCTGTTCCGCCACTCAAACCCCGCTGAGTGGCGGCCAAAAGAAACCTCACTGGGCCGCAGCATCTGGCCATTGAGGCGGCGGTGGGCATCTGGTAGCTTGGAGACGCCTGGCTCACCATCATCCGGTTCTCGCGGAGAAAGTTGCGCGATGTGCCCATCGAGGCCCGTTTCATGGCCACGAGAATCGATCTAAACAAGTAATGAAAAAAAAGAACAAATATAAAAACAAAGAACGTGGGCTATTGTTTCGGGAGCTACAAAAGTATACTGAAAAATGGTGCTCTATATTATAAATCAATGAAGCTTTAGGCAAACAGGATCTGATCTATTTCACGAATAGAATTCCTTACATGCCAACCAAACATTGAAAATTAAAAAAAAAAAACAAGACAAAGGTTTGATTTAATGATTCAGATCGAAGAGGTTTTAATATTAGCTGAGAACGTGCATATAGATTTTTAGTGTCTCTATTATATTATCTCAGTAGCGAATCAAAATCGCTTCAATAAGTAGTGCAATAATTTGATGTTTAACGCAAAGGCTTAAATTTGTTTGCACATTTCACATTAATAATTATTCATATTCCAGTAACACATCATCTCACAAAAATTCTACTGCACAACATGCTATTTGAGCTGATCAAATGCCTGGCGAAGCATTTGATTGCAGAGCGCTGCAAAGGGATTTATTTCCACCAGCTGCAAAGAGATCCGTATTAGATTAAATTTTTCCGGTAATTAGTATCTACATAACCTGTTCCCTTGCGAATTTACTGCCCAACTGCGCTGCAGCTTCGAAGTCGGCACGAGCCGCCTCCAAATTATCCAGTTTACGATAAAGGACTCCTCGCTGGCAGTGGGCGTGGCACTTGGTGCGGGTCTGCTGATCATTGGCCAGTTCTAGGGCTCTGTTTAGGTCATCAAGGGCCTCTATGAACAGGAATATCTTTGTAAAATCATAATCGCTTACATTATTTTACTTACCCTCATCGCGTTTGGCTAGGCGTAAAGTTTGTGCCCTATTATTTAGAACAGAAGACCTCTGGGCCAGATTTAGTGACTGTTCAAACAGCTCCAGGGCTTCATCAAGCTCCCCACTTTCGGATAAGGCAATGCCCCTTAGCTCCAGTTCCCGGGAAGCTTTGATAGCTTGGGTGTCTGGCTCCACATCCTTGAGGTCGGATTCGGCGGGAATTAAGTAATTTGTCTGTAGGCTGCTGAGCTCGAGGGGATTGAAAATGGAATCGAGCACCTGCTGATCATGGGGACTTAACTTTAGATTGGCCTTAGGCATGATACGATGTTGTTTACTTTATTAGTTCGATCCAACTGAGCTGAAAAATACAAAATAGTTGCGGCTACACGAAATGCAAATGATGCCGCCCAACCTGTTCAGTCAGCGAGGGAAAACAAGGTGTTTATCAACTTGGAATATCTGCTACTCAATGCCTCTCAAAGTCAGAACGATTAAGTCTTCAAGAATAGTTTCTTGGTTGATTTAAATAAAATTTTGAATTGTGTTTTATTTCAATTAATTTCCTAAATATGCAATAAAACGTCAATGACAAGAAACATTTAGAGGCATGCCACTTCAAAATCCGATTTAGATATGATGAGTTATGGAGTTTAGAACTTAAGCCTTGGGACATTTCTTAATTTTTTGAATTTCTAAAACATAACCTCAAAATATTAAACAAAAATTAAAAAAAAAATAAATTTCTAAATTTGAATGCAGATTTTTAGAGAATTGCGCCGGAAACATTTAGAGGTATGCCACTTCGAAATCGGATTAAGATAAGTTGAGTTATGGACATTAGAACTTCAATCTTTGAACATTTTTTGAATTTCTACAACATCATAACATCAAAAAATTACAAAAAAATTACAAACAAAATAAATTTCTAAATTTGAATGCAGATTTTTAGAGAATTGCGCCGGAAACATTTAGAGGTATGGTAAAGTAAATATTTCAAACTGCCCTCAAATTAGTATTTACAATGACCTCGAGGTGTTTAGAAAAGTTCCAGCTTTATATCTTGTTATCGCACGACGAGGCTTATTCTCATGTACCGTGAATGGTTGGTAGAATAATACAACATGAAATTACATTTACGATATTTTATTTAATATATGTCATATTTTACTTAATATATTGCACTCTCTTTCGTATTTTGTAAGAGGACTGGGCCTTTGATTGGTTATTTATTACTTAACTGGCTACTAATACTGCTGCTTGAATTCTTAAATGACTGTATCAGCTATTTCTACATCTTTTCTCGTTGCATTGGCTTGTAGTGTTCGGTAGCTAATGGTTTAACATACTTCTATCTCGCGGTCGCTATAGCTTATGATTTCTTGATCTCTTGAGCATATCACAGAACAAAAATGACAGTAGAATATGACATGTTTGGGTCTGGTGTGGAAGAGTTTTGGGTACAAGTACGGGTCATAGAAAGTGTAAAAATATTGTTCAGAGCTTAAAAGTTAGTATTCGTGTATGCGTATATGTTTGTTTATTTGATATATATATTATATTAATGTATATCTATGCCGTGTAAATGTTCATATAAACTGTGATATAGTTGTTTAGAAAAATACTGAGCAAAAGTACTTGGCATTTTGTGCATTAAGGGGTTGTCAAGGATCAGGGTTCGCGAACTTCAACTGAGACTCAATTCCTCGACAGCCTATACGAGAATCTTGTCGTACGACGGCGGCGGAGACTCATCCAACGGAAGTTGTTTGCCCATTGTCGCCGGCGTCTGTTCCGGCAGCAGTATGGCTATATGGTAGGGTGGCGGACCGGCCGTAGCCGCCGTCCCGCCCACTGTTGTCACCTGTCGCTCCTCCAGATACCGACCCTCGCTCATCTCCAGCAGGCAGCCGGCGGACTGCGCCGCTCCGGATCCGCCCAACGCGGAGTTGACACCACGACTGTGGCACACCGCTGCTCGGCCATTGGAGCGACTGGAACTCGAGAAGAGGCCTTTCGGGATGCGGCACAGGCTGATCAGGCAGGCGGCCAAGAAGAAGGCCGAGAAGGCGCAGAAGATCAGCACCTCCAGCCCAGTGCCCTGGTGGCCGAAGTAGAACTTTGTTCCTGCCACAAAAACGGAGGCCAGCACCAGCGAGGCGCACATGCCGCACTTCAAATGGCTGGGCAGCAGTTGCGAGTCCGCGTGCTGCAGCAATGCATGATGGTGCTGCTGCAGCTGGTTGCTGTGCATTGTGGCAGGTGCAGCAGCAACTGCTGCCGCTGGACTGGCGACACTTGCTGCCTCTGCGCTTGATGCTGCTGCCGTTGCTGCTGCTGGCGTCGAGTGCCGCATATTGTTGCTGGAATTGTGGCGACGGGGCGTGGCGTAGGCGGTCGCTTGTCGCTGGTTGTTGCTGCCGCTGGTCGAGTGGTTGCTGCTGTGCTGGTGATGGGCTGTGTGGTGGTAGGCGCTGTAGGCATCATCACTGGAATAAGGTGGTTCAATAGTTAGACTGGATAATCCTTTCTTGAGGGTAGCACCCGTGCAGCTGTGAGGTGCTACACCTCAAACCCGAGCTACTCACGCATAGACATTGCCCGAGTACTGCTGCTGTTGCTGCTGCTGCTGCTGCTGATGTGCATCGTAGTGCCTCATGGGCACAGCCATGTTGCCGAACTGCGGATGGTGATAGCTGTAGTGCTGCTGCTGCTGATGTTGATGCTGCTGCTGTTGATGCTGGTGTGGCTGCTGCTGGTGCTGGTGCAACAGCTGCTGCTGCGTCCTTGGCTGATAGCGCGTGCTGCCGTGGTGATTGTAGTGCGATCCTCGTGCCACCAGCGGAACGATGGTTCCACTTCCGGTGAGGACTGCTGCCGAGGAGGCTATTCCGCTGGCGTGGTTATTGTTGCTGGCAGTTGTTGTTGTGCCGGCGGCAGTCAAGTTATTGTTGTTGCTGGTGCCACCGCTGCTGGAATGTTGCTGCTGCTGGGCGTGCAGGGAGTTGTTGTTGCCATATGATGACTGCGACTGCGATTGCGACTGGCGACTTGTGCCGGGCTGGTGCATGTCGTACGGCGTCTGCGGCAGAGATCGATGCACCGGAGGCATTGACTGGCCGGTGCTGTTGCTGCAGCTGGTGGACTTGGTCCTTCGTGGCGGATGACCGTAGCTGAGACCGCTGCCAGCGTGCGACAAGGAGGCCGCCACGCGGGACCGCCCAAATCCGCACTGCTGTGATCGCTTGTCAATCCAGAAATGCATTGCGACGACGGGAAATGCAAGTTGCGTGAACTGAAAGAAACGGAAAATGCTACTGAAAATCGATGTTCATATAGTGGCCAAATAACATGTGCAATACTGTACTAAAGTTATTGTTCAAATATTCAAATTATGACAAGTAGCTTAGAATACTTTTTAATGTATGTCCTTTAAAGCTACCAATATTGTGGACATCTAGCTGGCTAAGCTGCGCTTCTAAAGCTTCACTAATAAATGATTTTAATTTTAAGGACAAAAAGGACTTCTCATGCTTAAAGAGCATTGTTTCGTTTCAACAAATCTAGCGTACGCATTTTTAGAGTGCAGACAGACAGACAGTCGGCATTAAGAGCTGCAAACTTATTCGGAGTTCAAGCGGTGAGTTTAGTATGGGGTAGAATCCTCGACTAGACAAAGCGCATCTGACTCATTTGGCTTTGTGTCTGCCAGACGGAAGGGAGTCACTCCACGTTCCCGGACTCGGTCTCGGTCTCGGTCCCGGCCTCGGTTCCTTTATTGCTCTTGCAAAAAGCTAAAACAGGAAACGTGCGCATCCCATTTCACGAGGCTGCCTCTCACCCGCGAGGAAACCCCTGCCAGGAGCTGCTTTGGCATTTCCTCTTTGTACTTCCCTGTTCGAAGGTGCAACAAGGAACAAAGGTTGCCGTTGACTGCCATCGCCTGGTCAAGGAACCCGCCCGAAAAATAAAACATTCATTGAACGCTTTCACTTCCCGTGTCATTGGCACCCAGCCGCATCCAAACATCCCAAACACCAACACGGCCACAAGGACCCCAGCGCGCCAAAACGCACAGACAGGTTTTGGTGTGGATGTGGATGTGGGGTGTTTGGAAAGGACATGGCGAGTCGGCAGTGGGGTTCAAGAAAATGGGGTTCTAGTTGTTTATTTTACAGTTTTTGATTCAATTATTTACATGCACTTAGCTGCAGAGGGTTGTAGAAGTTGTAAGCCTCTGATCGAAAATAAGTTAATTAAAATATTCTCCTAAGCGACCCCTTGATTTAAGGACACCTTTGTTGCCAGAAAAGCAAAGCTGACAGGCTCAGGGTTCATGAACTATGACGCTATGAATTATGACACGTACTTTCCTCTGCTCTTGAAAGTGTTTTGGTAAAGAACGAAGTCCCCGATTCCATTGTGCCTGGTGTTTGCATTATTGGTTCTTAACTCGCTTAGCTGTTCGTTGAACTGTCCCTCTGGACTGGCTTTTTGTGTGTGGTCTCTGTGGTGTTAGCCAATCAACGATGACGGCGGGAAAAATAATGAATTTTTTAAATTATCCCACAGACAATTTGCCGTGTCGCGTAAACAATCCAGTACACATACGCACCGAGCACCGAGCACCGAGCATCGAGCATCTAGCACTGTGACCACAAGCCATAAAAGTCAACCGCAAAATAAAATAACTTTTATTTCGGGAACTTTCCTGTTCCACTTGGCAGCTAGGTTCAAAGTTCAATGCCTGTCAACATCTTCGAGAGCAGAATTACACAACGCAATGCCATGGAGAGCTGAGTGCGAATAAATAAATACTCGAGCACGGGCGAGGACAATAAAATAAACATATTTAAAAGAGACATTTTGACAACCTTTTGATAGGTTCATTTCGTTTCCATTTCTCGGCTGGCGCCACTCGGATTTCGGTTTGTGTTTGGCCACCACCATTTCCATTCCCACTTTCCGCCCGAGGGTTCAATGCTTTGTGCTCCTGCCACCCTGATTACAACCATTTAGTTTGCTTGCCATTCGGGGCAGAGTTCAGCTCGATTTGCCTCGTGCTGGTCAAGATTTGTGCGGAACTAGATGGATCCCGGTCGGGCATTGACATTGCCCAGCGAGGTATTGCCCTTGCCAGATAATCATAAAAGCAATTTCTGGTCTACCAGCATAAAAAATGAAAGTGAATCTGCCCCCGAAGAACGCCCATTCAATTACCTTTAACAAATCACCATATATGTATCACTATCTCAACAGCCACCTTATAATAATTCTATTATCAGCCTCGCTCTTTCCCCCTCGCTGAGCTTGAATACCATCAACAATGGCAAACTGCCCGATCATTGGCCTCCTTCAAACGCTCCCCATAAAAATCACTTAAATAGATACAATAATAACAATCCGATTTTATTCACGCAACCTGTTTTATTTTTGACCCTTTGGCAGTTCAGGTCACTGAAGTTGGCCTCTTTGCCGCGCTTGTTTCAACTGTTTCCGTGGTGTAGCGGTTATCACATCTGCCTAACACGCAGAAGGCCCCCGGTTCGATCCCGGGCGGAAACAGGTGATTAATTTTTTGTATTTTAAATTTAATTTTACTTCTTGAAGAAATTCTATTACTAAATTTCACTATTATATAAGTGCAATAAGGTATTTGAGTTTTAGTTGAAATGCATAGACATTTTGAACCCCTTTCTAGTTCTTTGGCAAGATAATTTCTTTAGAAATTATTGTAGCACAAATAGAAAGACGTAAAGCAATAGCAACTTATTACCTACTTCACACACATTAGGTTGTTGGATTTATTCCTAAGAAATATATATTAAAAAAAATGTGTACAAATGAATCCTTTTACTCAAATATTTGGTATCAACCAAGTACATCTGCCCTCATGCAGGCTGCCATGGTACTCGTATATGGCATATTGCTACTGCAGTTTTATTGACAAACATTCATATTTTTACATGTGCCGGATGATTTAGTAAAAATATAAGTATATTAAATACATATAGAAAAAATAAAAAAAGTATTTAACATGTTTCCGCCCGGGATCGAACCGGGGGCCTTCTGCGTGTTAGGCAGATGTGATAACCGCTACACCACGGAAACAGTTGAGCTGAGTGCGTCCAAAGAGACTCTTGTGACTCACAGGAGACCTTAGGTTGGGCAAAGTGCCAGTAAATTGAATCAAAGCGGAAATCTAAACTAATCTAAAGTTGATTCAAAGGTGATTAAATATATAAGCTAGGGACTTAAAACCCTTGGGATATTGTACATATAATTATTGTTGCCAAATTCAGGAAAAAGTGCTGTGGCGATTTTAAAACCTTACATTTATTTGACTGGACGCCTTATTAGCCTTTATTTAATTGGTTAAATAGCATTCTTCAATATATTGAGAGCTTGGAATGAATTCCGGGCAAATGCCAACGAAATGTTTAATAAACAAAATTCCTCGGTTATTGAGGAAATTCGTGGGAAAAAGAGCTATCCCAACACAGCGACCATTGCATAAATGAAATGCCAGACATTTATCCTCACCTCCAGCCGCTAAAATGTACATTTATGCGTCACTCGGAAAAGATGCCAAAACAAAACAAAACAAAACGCAAGTTGTAAGCTTTAAAGTAGGAACCTCTCTGATTTCCCTTAGCTTTTTCAGACACTTAGTATGCTCACCTCCGTTGGATAAAATCTATGCGTCATTGGACAAAGATGCCAAAACAAAATGCAAACCGTAATCTTTAAAGCAGAAACAAGTCCCCCCGCTGTTTAAACACCCCGTTTGGGCCATTTTACCCCACTCGTATGGTTTGTTTTTGCCATTAACCTTTGCCGTTCGCTCTTTTCGTTGGCGGGAAGTGAAATTTGTTCCCATTCGAGTGACTTTTTCCGGATTTAGCGCGTGGCTGACTGAGTGACCGTCGCTCCTTCTGTCTGACTGTCTGTCTATCTGTCTGTCAGTCGTCCCAACAAAAGGCAATAGGAGGCACCAAGTCCCCCTGCCCCCTTGATGGCGTACACGCTGCGTATGAGCAATGCGCTGAATGCATGCGGATCTGTCTGCGAATGTGCAGCTGTGGGTTGTTTTCAAGTGCATCACTCTTTTACCTGCTTTTTATCTGCAATATTTTCACGGATTCTCGTTCGCCCAGAAACGTGGTGTTCCTTTCAGCTCTTCAATGCCTTTTGCCTATTGGCACGTTGCTGTCACGTTTCTCGCATTTATTGCACACATATTGTTGTTTCTGGCACTGGTTTTCAAGCTATTTTGCTGTTGCTGCAGCAGAGTCCTTGAACGCTCAACTGACCCGACACGACAAACACACAAATGACACACACACACGCACGCAAGCTGGCTTGGCAAATAAATATCCTTTTTGCGAAAAACTCGTCGTCACACGAGGACTCATGCGACTTGCAACTTTGTATTCACTTTAATGCAATTCAATTCGATTCAAAAAATCAGCCACCGCTGACTCGCGCTCGAATAATTGTATTTTGCCAACCTTGCGGCCCGAGACGCATGTGGGCGGTGGGCGGTGGGTGGTGTTGGGTGGTGGGTGCTATGAGCTTGTGTGTTGGACGATGGGTGGTGCCGCTGACTCGCCTGCGATTCGAACGGCGCAAGGACTCGCAGCCAACTGAATGTGTGAATGCAGCTGGGCCAGCGTCGCGCTCGTTTTCACTTTCATGAGTTTCGCAGAGCGCTCTTTCACTCTCCACCGCCCGCCCCCAATGGGTGGTTTTCCCCCATTTTTTGTGTTTGTTGCCATCAGACAGCGTCTTGTTTTTGCTTTCTGTATATGTGGCCGTGCCACTTGGTGGGCGAGCGGGTGGTTGGCGTTCGCCATCGGAAGAGCATGAATGGGGTGCTCTGTGGAGCACTCTTTCTCTCTTTTTTGAAAAATAAACACAGTGGCTGCACAGCACATGCGCCCTCCAGAAAACACCATTGTGAATGGGCTAACAAATTCAAATTGTAACGTTAGGAGCGAGCATTTGAGTGTTGAATTTAATCGAAAATAAGAAGCAAGGCGGCAATCGGATGTATTTTATTTTGCAAAACTCAGTTAGACGCCAACGAAGAGCGGCATGCGGCACTCCTCCACTTTGGAATCGTAGTAAAGACCCGGAGTGCAGTCCAGTGTGACTCCGCGTCCCTCGACGCAGTAATAGTATGCATCTCGGCGAGATTTGTGTGGGAAAAAGTGAGTTCCCATTAGGGGACACTTAATGTCGGCACGACGCAAAGGGGTTCGGGAATATGGCAGAATATTCCTGGCTGCAGCATTAATCTGGAAATATTAAGTTATAAATAATGAAAACGATTTTGTTTGATAACACAGTCCAGGAGCAGCTTCCTTCCTGACTCCAAAGCGATCAATTTGAAAATATTTTAATAAGATAGTGCAAAATCAAGGCTACTCACCGTACAGTTGACATTCTTGGCAAAGTCGCAGCACTTGCAGCTGGGATTGTAGGCCAAGCCAGGAGCACACTGCTGTTCCCACGGATGGCCGTTGGAGCAGACGAAGTACTTGCTGCAGGAGGCCTTGCTGCCCAGGTAGATGATGTCCTCCGGCTGGAAGTTGGCGGAACAGTCGTTGGCCACACAGTCCACATACTCGGGGAAGTCACAGCGATCCGTCTCGTTGTTGTACTGGAGTCCATCGTGGCATTGGCGTAGCACAGGTTTTCCGTAGTAGCAGAGCACGTACTTGGTGCAGGTGTTGTCGTAGCAGAAGCTGCTCAATCGGTCCGTCTCACAGGTGGGCAGGCACTGTACCTTCTCCATGTAGGTGCACACCTGGAGGACAGGATCGTACCCTAGCTCACATGGCTTGGTTGGATCGCAAATCAATGGATTATCCTTTGCCAAATCCAAGCAGCTGCCTACCTCCTTAATTGAGTTGTCTTAAAAGAGCACTTCATGTTTAGTTTACGAACTAACTTATAATGGATCAAAAATAATGCCAGAACAATGTAATGTATGTAACTCACTTTCGCACTCGATATATTTGGTGCAATTTCCAACATAGGGCAAATAAACTCCATCCGCCACATTGTCGCAGACATTTATCTGGGTGTTGCTGTACATATCGTACATATCCTTGTCCTGGACATTCAAGCCCTCACCATCGTCGTCTGGGCCAGGGGCCACTACCAGATCTTCGTCGGCCTGGTTCTGGTGAACCATCAAAATGATCAATAGTAAAGGCCCACTTAATAGCCACTTCACTTAGGAAATTCCGGATTATTAGGTAATGCATTACAGGGAATCCCGCATCTGAGCAACTTACTCCTGGATAGTTTGAACTGTCTACCACAACTGTTCGCTTTCAGCGCAGAAAATATTGACTTTATATCAACTCTCCTTTGCGGTCTAATGAGTTTTTGCCAGCTCCCACTTATCAACCCGGTTATTTCGGCACACGACTCCTCTATAGGAAAACTACGCCATTATTTCTGCAAACATTTCGACTTTCAATTTGTCACCAGCAAACATCGCGATAGTAAGCGTATTCGAACTGCTTTAAATAGGCTGGTTCTCAGAACCCGTGGATATCGATGATGTGTTTTAATTTCCCTTCACGTTTACTTTTTTATCACTTGAGTGCATGAGTTAAAACACACTAAATGTATTACTGCGCAATTGCGATTAAAATATTGCAAAATATTAACTCTTTATAGAATAATACATTCCATTTGGATGAACTGGGATCATTTCCTTTCTGTGAACAAAATGCAATTAAAATTTCAAAATATATGTTATGCTAAAACTACAACTACAACTTGAATGCTCAATAATTTCTTGATCTTCAAAATATGGTGCCTAATATCCAAGTACACCGAACACTTGTAACAATTACATCGGATCTTGGGCGATCCGTGGGTAGATGAACTGTGACCCATCACTACACGTGTTTCCTAATGACTGACAGCGGTGTATGTTCCTGAATATTGGCTCTTGTACTCCGAACTTATCTCCGGCGCCGAATTTGAATGAGGAAGAACCATCCAATTACCACACAGAAACATGCATCCACATCTGATAAGATTTCGAATTTGCAGGGAATCAAAACAAAGCGGAGATTGAATGGCAAGTCAGTTTGCCTATAAATGGAGGGGTTTTTGAGGTAAGGCGATAGTAAGCGCAGGAAACCAACCTTAAATAGTGAGTATGAATCGCAGTTATGGCACCGAATTAATCTAACTTGGTTTACTGCCAAAGTGGTGCATCGCCTGACCCTTTTGGCACTGGTTGCCCTGATTGGAAGCTGTAGCGCTGATGCGGATATCAATGTCTGCTCCAATGTGGTCAGCAATCTCTTTGTTCCGCAGGTGGGCAACTGCAGCAAGTACTACCTGTGCATGAGTAAGTTACTAACAGATAACTAGTTCACCCCATAACCACGATCGCTTACCAGATGAGGTGGCTGTGCCCCGCGAATGCCCTGCGGACTACTACTTCGATGCAAGGGATCAGGAATGTGTGCCCCTGATGGAGGTCACCTGTATTGGATCCTGCAAGAACCGTGGCCTGTCATCTTTCTGCTACGATCGCACCTGCACCAAGTACGTTCTATGCTTCGACGGCACTCCGGTGATCCGCCAGTGCTCCGATGGACTGCAGTACAATGCCCTCACCGATCGCTGTGACTATCCGCAATACGTCGACTGCGTGGACAACCTGTGCAGCCGGAATAATAATCCGGATGACATCGTTTACATAGCCAGCAAGGCGCGCTGCGACAAGTACTACATTTGCATGGACGGTATTCCTCAGGCTCAGAACTGCACCAGTGGTCTCCAGTACAATCCAAGCACCCAGAGCTGCGATTTCCCCTCGAAAGTCAACTGCACGGTGGGTGTTTTTGGTATCTTAAGTTTCCAATGTGAGCTACATAGGAACGGTTCATCTCTTTCAGGTGGAGAACCTGCAGCGGAATATCCTGCCCTTCGCCAGAGCTCCTCCACGCAGCGCCGACATCGAGTGTCCTTTGGAGGGCGCCCACTTTATTGCCCACCAGAAGCGTCGGGATGCGTACTACTACTGCCTGAATGGTCGTGGAGTCGTCTTGGACTGCACACCCGGCCTGGTTTTCGATGCCAAGCGCGGGGAGTGCCGGGACCCAACCTTCGTGGGCTTCTAGATACTTGAAATAAATATCCATTACAGTTTCAACCAACCTAATACTTTCATTAAGCATAACAGTGTTACTCTGGTAAGGGGTCCTACATGAGGCATCTCCATTTTTTTATAGATTCTTTTAAGAAATTAAGAAATCTACCACAATTCATAATTGCAAGCTTATAAGCTAAGGTATGAACTCGTACTTCATGGTAAGGAAGTTTTTGGACATACATTGTATATACAAATAATAAATTTATTTTCCAACGAAACTATTTCGATATTTATGTTTAAGTTTAGGTAATAATAGTTCAACCGAAAGAGCTTAAGAAACGGGTTGAATTATTATTAATCATTTAATAAACGAAAAACTTTGGCATGGTGGGGTTAGAGTTACAGGCCCACATTCTTGGGTTCACGGCACTCCTGAACCTTGGGATCGTACCAAAGACCCGCCGAACAATCCAGAACCAAACCATGTCCATCCACGCAATAGTAATAGGCATCCTGTCGAGACTCATGGACATAGAAATGGACGCCGTATGGGGGGCAGATTCCCTCAGTAGTGAGAGGTGAAAGACGTGGAAGCTGCCGCACTTTTCCTTGCACAGCTGAAATCTGAAAGGTAAAAGAGTTATCCAACTATTCTGCGTAAGAGTGTACTGTTATCCACCTGGCAGTCCGCTTTTGCTGGAAGATCGCAGCAATCGCACTTGGTGCTAAAATGGAGGCCATCGGTACAGAATTGCTCCCTGGGAATGCCGTTGCCGCAGAGGAAGTACTTCTCGCAGGAAACCTTGCTGGGAACATAGCGCAGATGATACGCATTGGAGTAGATGGAACACTCGGACTCCACGCAATCCACATTTTGGGGGAAGTCGCAGCGATCTGTTACAGAGTTGTACTGCAGGCCATCCTGGCACTGCCGTAGAACAGGTTTTCCGTAGTAGCACAGCACGTACCTCGTACAGGTTCTCTGGTAACTAAAGGTGCTGAAATGAAAGGCCTCGCAGGTGGACATACAATCAGCCTCGCCGGGATTCACACAGCTCTGGGTATTCGCATTGAACTCGTAAGGCCACTCGCATTGGAGTTCTATGGCTTGGCCAGCTAAAGATTAAACGTATCATAACGAAGACTCCAATATGTTAGGATTACATGCTCCAAACTTACAGCGACAGAGGTAGTACCTATTGCAGTCACCCACAAATGGTAGGAACACATTATCCGCCACATTCCCACAGAGACTCAAGTTGCCCGTAATTAGGCCATATTCCACGCCGGAAGTAGTTGAATCCGTTTCTACGGTGCTATCTGTGGTTCCAGTGCCCTCCGAATTTTTGGGTCTCGCTCCAAGAACTCCACATAATAAGCAGATAAAACACCATATTACTGCAAAACAGAAAAAAATAATATTGTTGTATTCCAATTCCTGACTCGCACACCTCCACTCATTGTCTGCTTTTTATTCTACTGAATATTTTCTCTCATGGAAATGTACCTTTATAAGGTTCAAGCCCCAGATTATCTTATCACTATATCGATGTACACATGGCAAACAACTGGCAAATGAGTTGGGTGGAAAGGCGATGACTCTTTGAGTTCTAAATTGGGATCACTATTTTCAGACTAGGTTCAACCAAAGACACTAGAATAATAAGATGCGTAACGCCATACGATTTTTTTGCACACGATTTTTTCGGGCTGGCTCCAGGGTCTCTCGAATTTTTGTCAAGAGCCACAGAGAATATGCCAATATTTTTCTGAAAAAAAAGGACAGATTGAGAAAAAAAAAGGGAAAAATAGGCTGAACATTTCAAAAAAGGATGAAAAAACAGGACAGATTTTGATTCATACGTTGCCATTGTGCCAATGCGTTTCAAATACGTTTCGGGCATTTTATAGGCTTTATTTAAGACAAAGAAAATATTTTTCCTAAGCAAATATTAAAAGCGGCAATAACTATGTGTTCCGACAGTAAGTTAAACATTCTTCAGGCTTAAATTAAGACAATTTTTACTACTTTGTGCAAGTAACACATACACTACATACATACATACATACATGTGCATACATACACACATACATACATATATACATACACACATACATACATACATACATACATACATACATACATACATACATACATACATACATACATACATACATACATGCATACATGCATACATACATACATACATACATACATACATACATACATACATACATACATACATACATACATACATACATACATACATACATACATACATACATACATACATACATACATACATACATACATACATACATACATACATACATACATACATACATACATACATACATACATACATACATACATACATACATACATACATACATACATACATACATACATACATACATACATACATACGCCGGTACATACACTACTGCATACATACATACATACTTACATACATCCATCCATAGATACGCCGGTACATACACTACTGCATACACATACACTCACTGCTCGACCGCTAAGAGAGATGACTTGAACTATTTTGCGACTCGAAATTAGAAGACATGCCTTACAGTTCTCGCTAGAACTAGTTGGGAATTATAGGGCTACAAGAAAATATTTTTCCTAAGCAAATATTAAAAGCGGCCATAACTATGTGTTCCGACAGTAAGTTAAACATTCTTCTGGCTTTAATTAAGACAATTTTTACTACTTTGTGCAAGTAACACATACACTACATACATACATACATACACTACATACATACATACATACATACATACACTACATACATACATACATACATACATACATACATACATACATACTATTATATAATATTAAAACAACTTCTTAAAAAGAAATAATAGTCACGGCGGCATCAATTTTTAAATAATATTTAGATCATATTACAACGAAATTGACCAAAACATTCATCAAATTAGTTTTCGGGCCGAAAATCGTCTTCTAGCACAACTTTTTTGTTCACTGTTTTCACTCACACAAGCAAGTGAATTCTATTTTTAGATTTTTATGCTCTCAATTTTATGCGAGCGGGAAGAGAGCTATTACTGCCGCCACCAAAAAAGTGGCTGCATAGTGCAAAACCAATGTATGGCCGTTACGCATCTTATTATTCTAGTGTCTTTGGTTCAACTAAAGCTTCATTCCATTGATGTACGTTTACATCACACAATGGCTTATAGTTATGTGATCTAAAATATGTATTTATTTTTAAATTATTTTCTTTGAACTTGATGCTTTTGTTGCACTTAAAGTAAATATTCCCGAATGTTGTAAAAATGTGTTAAACATCTTGGTATTTGATTTTTACCCGCTCTTTTCTAAACATTTAACAATTTTCCTTTGTAGACTTTCAAATTAATGTGGAAAAGCTTGTCGGCTGGTTCTGAAAATTCTACATACACACGAAAACTTTTCAAAACATTTTCGTACTCGGCACTTCGTTTCAGTGGAAACTTGGGCATCTCTCTGTGCACAGCTCATCGCTCGGAGGATCGAATATAATAGAAAAGTACAATTTTCATTTATATTATACTTTGTGTATTCTGGTGTAAATTTTCATAAGTGCAGTTGTTAGTTTTGTCTTCGAGAATGCCAAGATGACTGACACTATTCTAACTGAAAAATAATTTAACAAAGAGCCATTTATTTATAGACAGTGCCTTGCGGTGGGCCTTTGTTTGTATTGGGAAAATAATCAACGTGCACGATATACATAACACCAATTATTCCCTCTTCTCCGCAGGAACCTAGAAAATGGTCAACGAACTGAATAGGCCCCAAAATGGGGACAATGCCGCCTTAAGCGAGGTAAGCTGGAGTCTTCAGGGAATTCCAAGACCCATGTTTAGGCATCTTGAAAGTATAAGAAAACTCACTAGGTAACATTAAATAAATACCGTAACGCATTCCTTTTAGACAACAAAATGAGTCACGACTCTAGATGTTTCAGTTAAAATGAAATTCGAGTAGTCAGCATCTTCTATACTAAGTTTCTAAGCTAAATAATAGGAATTTTAGTACATAATATATACTTACGTATGTATAATGTATGAATTATGAGACTTATTGACCGTATGTTTCATAATTGGAGCTTACAAAACTAATCGTTTGTATTTCCTAAGCGTCTAGCTGCCTCCAACCGACAGCTGCAAGAGATGCAGGAGGAGCACCGCCAGTTGCTCGAGGAGATGGAGACACTGCGCCTGCGAGCCGCTGAGCTGACCCTTCTGAATGCGCAGCGCCGACAAGTGCGGGAAAGCACCGAGATGGAGGAGCAGTGCCAGGTTGAGTCTTCAGCGGTGACAGAAGCAGCTGCCTCATCCTCCAGTCCTCCGGCAGACGCCAGCAACCGGGAACAGGCACCAGCTGGCGAGGAAGAGGGCGACGAGGACAAAGAGGAGCAGGCCAGTTATCTGCAGGCAAAGCTGAACGAGATCGCCAACCTGAAAGCGCAGTTTAAGCGCGTGCAAAACATGGTGGACACCACCAAGATGATTGAGCAGCACATGTCCTCCAGGCAAACGGTGCAGGTCCAGAGCACCACCTCCGTCCAGACTAGCAGGCAGACCACCTCCTCAGAAGTGAGAGTGGCCAGCGAGGCCGTGGAGGCCGTGGAGAGTGCCCAAGCAGAGAATCCATCAACGTCGTCCACTGCACCCGACAACGCCGAGCTCCTGAATTCCATGCTCAACATGTTCACGGACTTCACCAGTGATCTGCGTGGCCAGGCGGAGGGTCTACGGGCGGAGCGGGATCGGATCAGGGCTCTCAAGGAGGACATCATCCAGCGCAAGCAGGGCAAATAGGCACATAGTCATGTAATGTGTATTATCCAGGGAACATATAAATACTACCCAATTAAATAATTATCCACAAAAGATATTAAGTTGTGCGTGATTATTGCCAATTACAATTGCTTTATCTACAACAAAGGCGTTTACTTCTCTGTTTTTATAAATATACATTCTAGTATAAGTTACAATTTGATAAATATTTATTTTTACTGGATTTTATACAAATGAATTGATTAAAAACTGTAATTTCAAAAAAGGCCGCTTGCCAGTGTGACCGCATCTCGGTAGGCTGTTAGTTAGCTGCCAGCCCTGGCTCGGAACAGCTGTCAGAGTGCGCAAAGGAAAAAACAAAGTGGGAGTGCAAAAAAGAGGAGTTTTTTCAATTTTGTAGCGTCGTTTTTTGTACGCAAAGATATATTTTCTAATGGCGCCGCCGCCCAAGGTAGTCGTGGACCAAGGCAGCGCCAGCGCCCGCAGCAACAACAACTCGCTGGGCGGGGCAACCGGTGCGGTGCCTAAACAACAAACGCCCGTCAACGGAGCCCCCACGTCCGGAGCAAGTGCATCCGCGATTTCGAGCCGGTCGGCCCGCTGTCGCCGCCAGCAGGAGCACCTGGGCGAGCCGGACCTGGACCTTGTGGAGCCACTGCAGCAAGAGACGCTGAAAACTCTGATTGTGAGTTAGACGTCCGGTTGCCATGGCAAATCTTCTAGAAGAGAAGCCACCAAGACCTGTCTCTTCTTTGATTTATAAATACACTTTACACTCATCACGGCCTGCGGAAATTCGTTATCCGCTGGCTCAGTAGCGAAAGCGAGCGCAACCACTGCGGACAACGAATTTCGATCGGCCAGAGCAGCGCCCTTATATCTGTATATATATATATATCTGAAATAGATATATATATAGACCTAAAATCAGCAAAATTACTGTCATCCTCGTGCTGGTCTTCCTGCTAATCTTCATTTACTGTTGCCTTAAGGATCTCCTCCAGCGAGCACGTATCACCAACTCCAAGAATCGATCGCCGGCGGAGCAGCAGCTTTCTAGCAAGGATCCCAGGTCGCCTGCACAACAGCAACAGCAGCGCAAGGCACTGCGTCAATTGGCCGCGGAGCACGGTAACTACGATTCAGCAGGTAATGGTCCTGAAATCGTTATGGAATACACATCTCATTGAGCACTTTCCAATATCCGCACCTGGCCCACACAAAATCGGTGCGCCAGTTCATGTTCTAAAAATAAGATGCGCACAAAAATAAACGCCCACTGAGATGATGTAGTTCGCAGCGCAGTATTCAGCATTGGACCTAAACATCCATACTGATCTTTGGCTATTTTCCATTACAGAGCAACTGCAGGAACAGCAGCAGCGCTATCGATTCCCCGTCCGTCCGGTCCAGAGGGTTCAGCACCAGCCATCCTCGTCAGCTAATAGCACAGGCGCCCCCTCATCTTCGTCGGCTTTGCTGCGTTTGCGTCAATCGACGCCCCCGAATGCCACTGTAGGTGTGGTCATCCCGAACGCAACTACCAGCAACGGAAACGGCAATTTGAGTGGCACCGAGGAGCAGGCCCCGCCACTGACCCCCGCTGGACTGCAACAACTCGTTCACCGACTCCTTGGTGTGCACCATTTGGCTCCCCGAACCGAAGGTACTCTCTCGCAGGTTGACGTATTGCGCGCCTTGCTAGGCATAGACGAAAACCTGAATAGCAGGCAGCAACCGAGCGCAAAAGTTCAAGAGGTAAGTTTGAAAGCTCCGTACCAGAAAGACCAAACGAAAATTAATATCCAAAACCTTTCTTTAACTGAAACTAAATCATTTTTAATTCTTTCTTGCCAGACGAACATCATGGTGCACGAAATCAACCCAAGTTCGGAACAGGGTGAGGGCATAGTCAATTCGACCAGCCTGGAGGATGTTGCATTAAGCGAGGTTGGTTAATTAATAAATCTAAAAGTCTGTCTTTCATAACTCAAAGCCTTTGTACCTTGCAGATGAGCGACAACCGCGCCCAGTCCATTCAGTCCCTGCACAGCGTCATGGAAACGCCCACGCCCGATACCACGCCCAGCTTCGATGAGTTGCAGCAGCGCTTGGAGGCCTCCAATAGGAACATGCAGCACCTGCACGACGAGCAGGCGAAGCTGCTACACATCCAAGATTTAGCCAAGTCTCACCTTAACGAGATGGAGCAGCTGCGACAGCAAGCTGAACGCTTGCCCCACAATGCCAATGGCGGAGAGGCCCCTAAATACGAGTCCGTGCAGCAGGTACAGGACGACATGGCGTCGTTGGTGGGGCGCATGAACAATCTCACCGCCTTTATCCACAACCAGAACGATCTAAGCACCGTGCTTGGCGATGATGGCCCCGAGATCCTGGCCGAGCAACAAGCACTGCGGGAGAAACTGGAATCCCTGCGCACCCAACGTGAGGATATGCGCAACCTGGTGGACGAGCTAAACAGCATCAACCGTACAGCCAGGGAATCGGCTAGAGCCATCAAAGAGGAGACTCCCACTCCTCCTGCAAAGCCAACACCTGCACCAGAGGCTCCAAAGGAGCGTGTTGTTCCAGTGGAGTACCAGAGGAACGTACCCATCATACGCCAGGAGGCGGCCAATGCAGCTCAACGCGCACTTCACGCACAGGCAATGATCAACCAGAAGACGGCAAATATAGAAGCACTCAAGGCTCAGATGGCCAGACTTAAGGGAATGCTGCACACCGTGAGCCAGATCGAAGAGAGTACCCCCAGCATGGGCTCCACCTTGGAGCGACGAAGTGAGGAGAGAACTAGCGTGGAGCGCGAATTGCCCGCTGAGATTGCCAAACACGTTTTTGAACTAAACGATGTCACGTCCGAACTGCGAGCGGAAGCAGCCACCTTGCAAAAGGAGCGGGACCGTATCCTCGCCCTGAAGGCAGAGATCGAGCGCCGCAAGCAGCAGGCGGCAGCGGCCGTTCAAATGGGCGAGGATGCACTTAAAAGAAATAGTCTTACCCCGACTCCCACCCCCATGAGACAGCAGCAGATGACCGAAGAAGAGGATCCATCCGAGGTGGATACTTCTCTTCAGGCTACGCCCACCAAGGAACAACTGCGCGATGAACTGCGCTTGCAGTGCGAGCGCCTGCGCAAGGAGTACGAGCAGAAGCAGCGGGAACTGGAGCAGCGCTACGTAGCCAGCAACAACACCACATCGGAGGCGGATGACGAGGGAAACGACGACACTGACAGCGATAAGTACTTCGCTAACGTACGTACCGCTTCCTCAGCGACACTAAAGAGGGCTGCATCCGCCAGCACAGTGGTGGAGCAACGACGTGGTCAGCAGCCTAACGTTCCCCCACAGCAAGCTCCGCCGCCGCCTGCTCCTCCGTCCACGCTAAACGAAGATGATCTGAATGTAACACTTGATACACTATCCCTGGGTAATGACAGCCTACCCTCCAGCAGCAATAGATCGCAGTACATGCCGCCCCCCATGCAACCAGTGCCTGGAATATGGGGTAAGTTTTTAATTCAGGAACAAAGGCGGCAAAGGTGGCAATGACGTTTCCTTACTAATAAGATGTATGTATCCCATTAGCGTCACACAACTCTGGAAGTTCGTGGCATGGACAACAGCCCGTTTACGGTCAGCCGAGTTCCAGGGCCGGCACAGAGTTTAATCAGCCACCAACAGCCACACAGGTTGGCTCCTCAAATGGCTCCGGATCGAACGCCTCTAACGATGCTGTTTTGTTGCAGCAGTTCATGCAGACGCAGCAGATGCTTATCAACTCAGTGTGCCAGTGCAACCAGACACTGTGGCATCAGCAGCGTGAGATCGACAACCTCAACCACCAGCTACATACGGTAAGAGACAATCCCTAAGATTAGAGAGCGTAATCAGGTACTAATTGTTTTATCACAGCTCCAGGATCGCCTAAATGTTGTAGCATGCCAGGATCACAGCTTCGGCTTGCGCTCGGAGTCGGTACCGCCTCCGGTGGGTCCTGGAATGGGTCAGATGCCGAACAATCTGTGCCTGGGCAGCAGTCGAGCTCAGTCAGAGCAGCTATTTAACTTTGGTGCTCATCAGAGCGCCTTTAGTAACTACCAGCGCAGCTGTCATCGTACCGGGGCAGAATCGCATCATCATCAACAGCAGCAGCACCAGGCACAGCCGTTCCTTAACAATGCTGCTCCCCCGCCACCGCCGACGCACTTCAACAACGAGACACCCCTGTCGCCGCCTACTTACCGCTCAAGTCCAGGTCCCATCTTCATGAACCACCACAACAACACGATCCATCAGAACAACTCGAATCTGCGAACCCAGAACCAGCATGCAAACAACCTGCACTCGTTGCCCGAGGGAGCAGCTGGGGGAGGAGCACCTGGTGGCGGTATCACGCTGAACAACCAAGTGCCGCCCGGAAACCGAGCCAACAACTACTGGGACAACTTCCGCAGGTAATGCTTTTTAACTTTGGTGATGGATTATTTAATGGTTGTTGGATGGAAAAGGGTCAAAAGCAATAAAAATTAAATAAAACTATTGTAAAGAGTTCATTTTCAATTCTGTGCACCGGTAAGTGCGACCACGCGTTGCAGAATAGTGTTCAATTAACAGAGTTGAAAGTGACTAACCCAAGATTAACTCCAAGTACTAACAAAGTTTTGCAAGTCTCACGATTTCATTTCCCAAAAACGATCTGTTTGGCAATAAGCAAAGCTTTTGTTAAATGTTTTTGGTAAAAACGAGGTGTGTTCAAATTCAAAAGATTATATAAAATCCAAAAACTAGATTATGCTTGATTTTTTGCTACCCGCTTGCATTAACCCATTAATATCTGTGCGCTTTTTCAGCCATTCGCGCCAGAACCTCTTGTCGAATAAAAGCAACGAGGAGCTGAACGTGGACCTCCAGCAGTATCGACGACAACGGGCACGTCCCAGCTACTTTCAGCCGCCCCAGTTGCTTCCGCCCACTGCACGCGGTGGTTTGACACACCAGCAGCAGCGTCGTCACTTTTTCGAGTCGCCACTAACCGCTTTGCATGGCAGCAGCCCCAATGGCAGCAATAATCTCAACAACAGCGGCAGTTCGGGCAGAAAACGGGACTGGCGCGATGATCCAGCTCACATTCGCGACCACGACGATGAGGATATGGACGAGGTGGAGGAGAACCACGATAACGTCATATTCGCCTCGGGTCGGCGTCGCAATCGTCGCCGTCCTCAACTTTCCACACTGCGGGATGAGGAGCCCCAGCAGGCTAGTTCCTCGAATCTCAACATGAACGTAAACTATGGCAACAGTCCGCTGTATCAGCGGAACAAAGTACCAGCGAAGCCCACAACTTCGACTGTGTCGCTGACTCCCTTGCAGCAGCGACACCTTCGATTCGACTTCGAGCTTCCAGCTCATTACATGGACTACATTGAGGTACCACAGATCACTCCAGTGGACACTACTCCTACCGTCGGCCAAGAAGCCTCCCCCGCGGACGAGTCGAATGCCATGGAGCACACCGAGGAAACGGCCTCCGAGGAACTCAATCGAAATCTGCTGGTTAACGCTCTGAAGAACGACAAGTTCACCACTAAGTTTTATGAATCGATTAAGGAGGATGTCTACCGCCGGCTGGAAACACTCTTTGAGCAGCAGCAACAACAACAGCAACAAAATCAGCAGTTGCAGCAGCCACAGGAACCGCACGGCCTGCGAAAAGCTCTCAACCAGGAGGAGAACGAGCCTACAGGCAACGTGGAGGCCACCGAGAGTCGCAGTGAGACGCCGCTGGAGGTTATGCGTCTACAGCTGAACAACGACCGGCCCGAGGACGAAAAGGGAACGCCAGTGAAGCAGCAAAGTTCGGTCATTTCACAGAACGGACAGCACCTGGATGAAATGCAGGACAGTGCTTCTGCTGTTTCCTCTTCTCTTAGGACCGAGAACGAAGAGGTAAGAAAGGTTTTTGTGCGCTGGTTTGATTAACTCATCATTGCGTCTTCCTTACCAGCAAATGCTCGAGGGGCAAGTAGAACATGCCTCTGGATCTGGATCAGGACCAGGGACCAGCATCGAACTAGCCCCGGACCATGAACTGATCGAGTACATCATCAAACGCATTCGCAACCAGACGCACAACAACACCGTCATCAATGACTCCCTACTGGCGGAGGTATCAAAGCTGACGGCCACCGCTGCCCAGAATTCGACCGCCAGCTCGCCACTCATTTCGCCCAAACGCATTTATGCCAAGATCAAAAAGATGGACATGCCACGACAGCGGGACGAGTTTCTGCTTTGGTACCGTTCCTATTTGGAGCAGCTGTTTGTAGTCGAACAGCCGCAGGACTGCTGCAAGGCCAAGTCGAAGGTGCCGCCTGCTATTGCTAGTTCGGCCAAGCAAAAGAATCAGCGGGTGCGCGAGCAGTCCCAATCCCAATCGCAGGACTCCAATAACGATGCAGACTTGGCCGAAGCGGACCAAAAGAATGTCTCCTCGTCGGGCACTGGGGACCTGGAGTGCGAGAACAACGAAAATCCCGGCGAGGAAGCAGATGGCCAGGCTGCAGCGGAGACCTCCGGCGCAGAAAAACAGGACGCCAGTCTCGAATAGGCTGAAGAATAACCCAACAAAGCAAACATTCCTAATTTAACAAGTCATCATCTATACGGATATTTCACACTTCATTTACGAATCTCGCAAAAGATAAATCTTTTATGGTCGTGTCCTTATACATAATTCACAATTCATTTCGGCTATCAGATTTTATTTAACATTAAATTATGTAACAATAATATATATAAATATACTCAAAACAACGACTTGAATTTACCTAACAATTCCTGAGACGACATTCTCTTAGGGATGCTACTAGTCACTTTTTGCAGTAGTCATCTGCTCCAGCATTCGGTAGTAGCAGTACCGACTATCGTAGTCCAGGTCGTACCAAAAGTTCACCGCGATGCACTTGTGGCTTTGGGACACATGGTGGAACCAGTAGTTGGGCAGGTACAGGATGTCTCCGGCGTGAACGCGTACTTTGAGAGGCTTGGCCCGGGCGTACTCCGGATATTTGGCCAGATCGGGTGCCAGGGGATCAATGCTGACCCATTCCGTGAACTGATCGCTGCCTTCCTCATCCCGCAAGTGCTCAATGTAGAACTGACCGCTCTCTGAGGTCTTGTAAACGCCTGTAGGGTAAATTCCTCGGGGTACGCAGCTAAGTTGGTGCGGCGGGATGAGGACAAAGTCTTTGTGACCGGATATCACGCAGTACAAGTTTTCGTAGGGGTCCTTGTGCATGGAGGTCACGGCGCGCTCGTCGCCCAGCCAAAAGTTGACGGCATCGGGCGGTTTGTTAAAAGACTGCTGGGCAAAGTCGAGATCACTGACCCGCAGATCAGCAGCCAGTTCCGGTAGGTCCACACTGAGGTTGGAGTTCTGCTTCTGTATGTAGTGGACAGCACCTGTGGGATCATCTAGGCGGCGGACCAGCTCGGACAGCTTCATTTTCGTCTCCAGCGGCAGAACAAAGTACTCCTGACCCTTTTGGGAGGCCAAGCCATCGGCGTAGCCGTTTGGGGTGATTGCCACATCCACGCTCTTGTCCCCGAGAGCCTCGATCAGGTACTCCGGCGTCCATTTCCCAATTGCTGGCCAATTGAGCGCCTTGCGAATGACCACCGGCTGGTTTTTGGAGTAGTAATCGCGACAAAACTCCAGCGCAGTCGGAATCCTGTCCAGCTCCACTACGCTACTCCCGATGCACAGCTCCTCCGCTTCCTGGAGCAGAACATCCAGAGCCCTTTCGACTTGGGACATGCCGGCAAACAACAAGCACTAACGCATTTTCCGCTGGAGTGGACCTTATCAGCGGAGTGCAACGAGGCGTTCTGGTTTTCAGTAAAAGTTAATTTTTAGTTTTAAACATATATTTTTTTTAATATTTTTAAAATAATAATCTTATTTTCCTTTCAAATCAAAATTGCTTTCCTTTATCAAATAATTTAGCAAAAAAAATTTCATACAAATATTAATTTGAGTTTAAACATTTATTAAAATATTATATCCTTTTTTATATATCCTCTTTTCAGTGCAAGAGAAATTGTTAATAATAATCCATTTGAATTTAGTCAGTGGTATTTCCCAAAACTAAATCGGTACAGAGTTCAGTGGTATATCCCCAATCCAAAGTGGTATTTCCTCCCAAGCCGCTAGGTATTTTCTAGCGCCTTCGGAACGGTCCCACTGGACGCGAGTGTGTTTGCGAGTGCGGGAGTTTCAAGACGCGCGCGAAGCTGCGGACAGTCGGATTGGAAGTGGAGCGAGCGAACTGGAAGGCAAACAAGACGGCGCGTGTCGAGTGTTTGCAATAGAAACAAATTGTTTTCGAATAGGAGCTGTGCTCCCCTATTTGTTTTGTGAAATACAACCGACTTCGGCAGCGGCGCGGAGAAGGATCGCGCTCACCACCATCACCAACGGCGTCTCCTCTTTTGCATGCCCGACATCCCCGCGTATTTTCAGCAATTTTCAGCTGGCGCGATTTGAGCAACAGGTGGCGTGCGACGGATGGGCGGATGGATAAATGGATAAATAGATCGTGTCGATGGGCGGCGGTACCTGGCGAAATTTGCTGCTGATGATAGGCTAGCAAAGGCCCGGCATCAGTATTTGTGCCCTAAAGGGGTCAGGCGGTGTGCGCGTGAGGAAATTGAATTGACTTGGTGGCCACCGGCGGAGGTCCGAAATCGAAATCTGTGTCGCAAATGTGGCACTAATAAATTATCGCACATTCGCGCGCCGCACCGCGAGTGCTTCATTAATGCGGGAATCGCGAATGAAGGAGAATATCTAGTTTTGCAGCGGCAGTGCGTTTGTTTCATTTTGCCAGGAACGTGACCAAAATTTCCAAGTGCCGCGTGGATTGGATCTACCGAGTAATAGGTCTGCATAGGCCAAACAATTATATTTGGTAGACACGCTTCGCGGAGCTGGGCGCGAATAAAAAAGAACGCCAACTCCGTGGCCTATAAATATCGGTCTTCGGAATTACTAAATCCAATTGCAGTCCAATTAGCAGCCGAGCGCCAATGAAGCGACTGTGAAAAAGTAAGTACGACGCTCTTTTTAAAGCAAATACATGACAAGTCGAAGTTTACATACCCTGTCAATTGAAAGAAGCTTCATTTTTGTATACTGCCAAGTCCCTTCTAAGATATCTAAGATATCAATACGGATAAATATAAATAATAAAAATATCGATATATTGGGAAAGTAGTTTATAATGAACAGACATTACAAATTATGCTTAATAAGCAAAAATAAAATAGCAAGTGCTTTAATTTGCCAATCAGAACTCCGAGCGCACAGCTCCAATCAGAGGAATTTTCAAATCTAATCTGCTTAAATAGAAACCAAAGTGATTGATAGAGCTTTATGTTGATAGTCCTTTAACTGATATGGGCACATTTAACTATAGACACTTCCGGAGAAAGTCTCCTGCAAAGCACTACAAACAGTAAAGCGCATATTCCCCACATAAGAGTATTAAAATCAACAAACGCCACAGTGCGTATGACAGTTCTTACGCAATTAAAATACCATCACTGGCTGTAAGATTTACATAAATACGGCCTGCGAAACTAAAAACTGATAAGCGTCATAAAAGCCATAAGGCAGCAACAACAATTGGTGTGTGAACCGAAACCCGAAAGTCAAAGAGCCAGTTGGAAACAATGCCAAACTCGCACAGAGCACTGCATTTTTCCACAATTTATTTAAATTTCGCATAGCTGTTGCATGGCAAGCCCCGAAATGAGTCAGTCGCGTGGCGCTGCACTCGCAGTTGCACTCGCAGTTGCAGTCGCAGTTGCAGTCGCTGCATGCCATCGCGTACTTCTTTGTGGCGACAGAGGCTGCGCCGTCATAAGCACTGTCAAATTGCGATCGCCCGAGTGGGTGGGGGGCTGGGGCGGGCGGTGGGGGCGTCATTGGCCCACTGCTGCTGCTGCTGCTGCTGCTAGGCGCGCTTTTCTCTTGCACCTCGCTGCCCCGCCGTCACTGACCACACTCAACGTCAAATCGACAGTCGCCTCTGGGCACAGTCGGGGTCGCAAATGCAGCACTCGTTGCGCGAAAATCAATCTGTACACATTGGAGTTAAGTGGTATGCAGAGCATGGCATTTAAATTGCTTACAGAGTAAAATAAAAAGGGGATCATAAGCACAAAGTAAATGCAAATGCTCTAAGAATGCGAATGCACTCTAAGCTAGAGCTATTTCTTACACCACTAAACAGCATTGTTAGATTATAAATACAATCACGCTCAAATAATTCGAAAGTCCCTTAAATTAAATTCGCGCCTTATTTTTGATTAATTTGAATCTCTAACACGTTATCAATATGTGCCTTGTTACCAATATAACACTTTCCACAAAATTTCAGCCAAAAATCTTATCTCAGTCATTTCCCGAACAGCTCGGTTTAATTGTGTTTTGGAAATAAGCTGAAACACCTGATAACACCTTTGTGCAAAATGCGTTACTTGAATAATTGCTGCGTAAAGGTCGACGGACTATTAATATTTTAGTTGCTATTATTTTGCCCACTAGTCTTGGCTGTCTGTCTGGCAACTTGAGTGCTTTGCGTGTGGCTTTTTGGAATTGCATTCGGCAAACGCAAAATGATGGATGATTGATGCTCGTGGCCAGAATACGCATTAGTCGTGGATTAGACGGCCTTTGGGCGGCGCCCAAACTTGGCGGTTTTTGCACATTATTATTTTATTCTTGGCCCGCTGTGCGGAGGGTGTTATCAGCCACGTCACCGACGCTCACGCACTTAAATTTAAATAGTTAAGTACCCCCAATATATATAAAACTAATACTGCTGATTAGCGGCGAAACGGGGCCAAGAGATTATGCGTGATGTTGAGGATGTCCCTCGACGGCACGCAAATTACCCGCAAAATTGCTCCTTCATCTATTTACATATACTCGTATATACATATAGGGATTTTAGACCGCACTACCAGCACTCGCTACCTGCATGTCATTCGCTCTTTTGGTGTTGTCATGGAAATTTAATTAAGCCGTTATGCAGATGGCTTTTCAATCGCTTGCTACAACTTTGGCCCTTTGTTGGACAAACGCCCGCTTATCATCTGAAAGGCAGCTCCAAATGTAAAATACCTGGGGGCGTGGCAGCTGGTGGGCGGTTGCTCGACATATGTTACACAGCTTTTTGCGCTTATCAACAAGAATGGGCCACCCGGTTGAGCTGGCGACAAAGAGCCTCACCCACAGTTGGCACACTTTTTTGGGGGGGCTTGCCACTCCAGTCATATAGAAAATGTTTTCAGGGGGGAATGGACGAGGGTTTCCCTCGGGTCGCAGTTGGTGAGCCGTTCAAATGGCATCCCATAAAAACGTTGTACAGAAATTAACATAGCCATAAAGAGGCGAAATTCGCCAGGGGGCAGAAGACGGAGCACCTTAACAACACGCGTGCTGGGTCCCCTCCAAAAAAAAAGGAACTTTAATTGATAAACTGAGAGCAGCTGGGGAGCCGAAAGATTCCTTATCAATTCCGACTTCCCGAATTCAAACGCATTCCTGGCCTCATTAACATTACCATTAGAAAGGCAAGCGAACAAGGAAAAAATTAAACAGAAATAGCAGCTCAAAGCGAAACAAAGTGAAATGAAAACGAAATTGTTGCGACTTAATTTCTCCTACACATTGTGTAATGGCTATATTTTATGCTTGCAATGTTCTCGAAAAACCACAGAAACATACACTATATAGCTTGGAGTCGACTAGGAAATGCCCTCTACAAAGTAAGGTACTTTCAGTACAACAATTGTAGATCCTATTTTCTACTTGTAATAACAAATTAAACAAATTCTTACAGTGTTGTCTGCCTTTATATTTTATTTTTATTCAATTGTACCAATAGTACCAATATTCCTAAGAACTGACTTCCAAATCATCATCTTTTTTACATTTCACGGATATCGAATATTCGATATACCCCTGTTCTCAGTAATAACACAGTAAAAACGCAATGGGCATTTAGCAGGGTTTGTGGTGTGCTGAGGCTGGTCACATGGCGACCCACCTCCAGACCCATTATTGGATCCTGTGGGGCTGTGTGGTTGCTGGGGCGGGTGCTTCTATTTTATGGGCTGACATTTAATGCTCAGCCAGCGAATCCGAAACCAAACTGAGATTTCCAGCAGGCCGCTCAGAGGCCAAGTGCGGGCAAGTGGAGAAGAGGAGCTGAGCCGGCGCTATGGGTTTAATGCCCGCTTAACCCACTTCGGCTGACAAATGTGCAACTTTAAATTTTCTGCCCAAAACACTTGCAAATAAATCACGCGACTTGTGACGGAGGAGTTGACTGCTCATCCGCGTACGAGAATCTAACGCTAATGAAACCCCAATTAGCGCCGCAAAAACTTTTGCATATTTTTAGGAGCTCGCTATCGCGAAAGTTGAGCCCTCTTATCAGCCGGCAATGGATCATCATTAAGCGTAACTGGCTATTTGTCTGATATCCACGAGTGATGGGTCATAAAGGCAGCCGATGGGCGGTGTGTTTCGTAATGAAGTGACCACAAGTTGGATCTTTCTTTGGCCTTGAAAGGCAAATGAAATCCGTGCGAAGGCTACGTGCGGGGGTTGCTTGAGAGGATTGGCCCAGTAAACTTGCACCGGGCACGCAGCAAATTGGTTTCGCCACAAACTTCGGTTCCGGTTCAAGGAAGTAGCACTAGCACCCGGCAGTCCGGGGTTGTTTCTAACATTCGTCGTACACATTCCCCGAAAGATAAACTTAAGTACAGCGCATTTAAATGCAATTTGTGACAGTTTTCCTTTAGCGCGACTTTCAAGTGACACGCACACAGCTGGGTGCGATTTTTCTGGGTGGTGGGTGCAGCCCAAATGCTTTCCAGTGCATTTGGAGGAGCAATGTGGGGTTGGGGCCACCACCCAGTATGGATAAAGTTAAGGCATGCCGTCGCACAAAGGAATTTTCCTATAACATTGCACGGAAAAATATGCCCAACAACTACCATGCCGGAGATGGGCTACGGGTCACGAAACGCTATCGTTGTGGCTACTAACTTACTAAAATATTTAAAACAAATTAATTAACTTTCCTGGCAGCGTAAACGCTAAAAATGTGAAATATTTGTGGATACTATCCCCCACGGTTATTTTTCACTTTGGATATAAGGTTTTTTGGGTAGCGATTCGACTACATTAAACCAAAAATGGAGGGCAGTGGTAGTTTTATAACCAAAAGAAAATTCCCATTTGCCCTAATTTGGTTTTTACCAGACCTACTTTTATTACCATGGTATTCCCCTTGATTTAACGAAATCCATTTAATAACAAGATTTATCTGAAGTTATCACGAAGCTCACGCACTCCCCATTGAGTTCTCCTTCAATGGCATAAATCTGCCTCAATTCGGATATATAAGCAAATCCTTGAAGCACACTCAAAGGAGCCGATTGCCGATAAACTTTTCTTCTTCCGTGCGTTGACTGGATCGTCACTTCAGACAACATCTGGCATATGGAAAGGGGAAACTTGTGAACTCCGCCTATCTGTGACCCTGCAACCGTTAAGGGAAATGAGATAAGGACGAGGACAAGGATGGCTTCCCTTGCCAAGTGGAGGACGTGCGTCAAAACTTTGAAAGGCAAGACCTTTTAAATTGATTTTAAAATAATGAATGAGCCAAGCGCCTGACGCACATCAATTTTGGCACTTGCTCATCGCCTTATGCCTCCTCTTTGAACCATCATTGCAGCAATGACTAATGACAAAGTTGCTCCTTTGTTTCCTTCATTCGTTTGGCTTTTTTATTGGATCCGCTGCTCACAGGAAGCTTATGAAGTAGGCTCCACGGGAGAAGGGTGAGGACTGTCGAGTCTCCAGGAAATAGATGCCAGTGGCAGGCTGCTCCTCCTCTTTTTGGCCCATTTTGTGGGTGGACCAGCGGCAGCTGGAGGCGCCTAAGGACTCCACTGAACCACAGCGGGCGCTCACAAAGTCATTCTCCGGCGACCACATCTCGGCGAGCAGCTCGAAGGCTCTCTCGTGCGAACAGGAGTCCGTGGAGCAGCCAGGCTGTGTTTGTCCTCCGTTGGGATAGTAGTCCACATGACCCAGTCGCTCCCAAGTGCCCTCTCCGCCGGCATTTGTGTGCACAACCTCCACAAACTCAGCATCGGCTTGGGATAGCTTGTGGTCCAGTTCTTCGCCGGAGGAAGGATCAAGGGCTGTAATCTGCGTCAACTGACGACCCAGGACCTGCTGCACCTTGGCAGCCACTCCACCTGCCAAATGGACGCCCTCCGCGAAACCCACAACCAGAATGCGATCGAGTGGCACATCGAATTGATTGCTAAGAACGATCACCAAGCTGGCCGCACTGTCGATGATCTCTGTTTCATCATTGGCTTCCGATAGATCTACACTGAATATATTGCTGTCCTGCTGCTGAAGTCGGGCGGAAATCACCGCGGAGATCTCCGGCGAAGAAATGTTTCCGAGCCAGCGGGGAATGACCAACCTAAAAGAACAAAGGTTACTTGTGGATAAATACTTACGAGTTGATAAAAAGATGACTCACACTGTGGGATCTGCGGCATAGAAGGAGCTCCTTACCAGAGCCTCCACCTCCGCCTCGACTTGCTGTGGATTTTCCTGGACGCGGCCTGTGTTCAGGAAAAATCCAGTCTCTCCATAGACTGCAAATGGTCCATGTGTTTCTTTAGATTCTTGAGTAAATCTATTAATGGCGCCTTACTCACCCGCTGCTATTGTGAGGGTCAACAACAAAGTTAGTTGTACTCCGGTCTGCATTCTCAATGTAACTGAAATGAATTAGAAGCATTCGTCTGAGACATTCCTTAAAAGCTCGATAAGATTGCGATTAGGAGTCTCATTTTATGACGTTTGATAAGCGATCGGTGGTCATCCACGATCGCTGATGGATTGTTCAACTCAAGCTGCAAAACTTAAAACACTTTGCCACTGATTTTCGCACGTTCCTCGAATTTCGTTCGTATTTCTCTCACGCTCAAATTGTTGTTTATAGCTCTAGTAGTTTGTCAAATTAATCAGCGGCAGCGGAGCTGCACAGCAAGTGTCGGCCCTCCCCTGCCATACCCTGCCATCTCCTGCCCACCACTTCATCCACATCGGTTGCAGCTGCATTTGCATGGCAGACAAATTGCATTTAATTGCCTGACAGCCTCAAGAGGCGAGGGCTGCTGGCACTCGGAGTGGGCCGCGGCTCGGAAAATGTGTAGCAAACTTCACGCCAATCCCCAATCCGTCGGCTCCTCCGCCGCCCCCCGGAATAGTCGCTCATGCTCCACCATCAATGTCAGAAGGCGAAACAATGAAAATGGCAAATTAAACTGGAAGTGCAATGCTACAGCTTCACTGCGAAGAGAAATCGTTGATGCCTATCACTAGTGATTGAAGTTTGAAAACAATTTACATAAATCATTGGGTAAACAATTCATATGTTGGGTATGAAGTATACTTTTCGGGAAAACCAAAAAATACCCATAGTAAACCATTAATTATGAAGTTAGTTCGTAGTGCACTTTCTTAATTAAAGTCCTGTGAAAATTCTATTCATGAAATATTTCTCAAAACGAACTCATTTATTGTACGCAATATTTTCCCATAGAAATTACAAGTTATTTTAGAGCTGCGATACATATATCTGTATACAGAGGTCTGTTTGATTAAAAGCAGTTTTTTAATTGCTTAAATTGTTTGTTTTGTTATTAAACCACATACCATAGTGCATACAACTTGCCTGCAGTGTTGGCTACATGATACCTGGCCATGTGTTTGATTGGGCTTGTTTGTAACCAAAAGAGAAACTCTGACGGATGCATCAGCAGTTGACACAGTATCCTTGGACAGCTAAGGTATTCGGACTAATTGGGGCGGAAACAAGAACTAAACGCACTTCCCTGGCTTTAGTTTTGGGCTCCCCCGACGTTTTGGCGGATAAATCGCTTGCGAAATTGTTGTGTCAAGTGCAGCCTGTGCTGTCCAAACTCACTCCCTTAGATTCGGGATTTTGGGATGGAGGGCACAACAATTAACCGGGGAGGAGAACCGGGAACTCTTCTTGCCGGCTCAATGGGCACGTCACGGTCTTTCGCTAGATTTACGGCCAAAGAAGCGTTATTAAACGTTGCCAGTGCCGATGGCGGCCACTTGTAACGTTGTTTGTAAGCGCGACGAAGGATGGGGAAGATGGTTACCAGGGTTAGCTACTTGCATTAGCATAAATAGAACGGACTGCCGCACGCAACGCTTTACAAGACCAATAAGGGAGCGCATCCCGTCCAGGAACAGTGGGGAATTTTTAGCATTGGGGTCAAAGGAAAAAGTCAATATGCCAGGCAAACTTTCAAGTGGATTCTGGAGTGCAACGGTGGAGGAGAATCAAGGGTGGCTGCTGCTCGAGTCAATATAATAAATTACTGTGATAGCTTCAAGAAGTTGCAAAGGTTCTGTCAATATTCAATATCGCCCCCTGAATCCGCAGGGCGTGTGAAAGAAGCAATCAGCCATGGGGAGTGGGCATGTGGGTCCAGTGAGAGATGTGCCAGACAAAAGGCAAACAAAGACATTCCGCAAGGAACTGGGGAGTGTGTGGATTGGGGTATTGGGGTGGCGGCTCTATCAGCAACTTCCCGTGCCGCAGCCCCCAGAAAATCACACAAGATGCGTCGCCATTTCTCATAAAAATTTCATTACATTGACCGAAATGTGTGGCAAGTTTAATATCGTGGAATTTCAACACATTGTTAAGGTTGCACACATAAAGTAGCATCCCACGAAATGGCTCTATGTACTTTATCAGCCCTTACCACGCCCCGAAAACAATTAGAACTGTGATAAACGAGCTTCGACTTAAGTTCTTTATCCATTCAGCGAGGTGAACTTCTTTATTACCAAACATTTCGTTGGACAGCGAAAACAGGTCCTTCTAGACAACGCAATTTCGTCTATAGCATTATATTTTAAGATGCCACGAACTTAAGTTCATCCAGACAAATTAAACTTTTACATCCTTGTTATTACTAAATTCGTCTAAACAATTTCAGCTGGCAAGTTTATTGCAAAAAACAAAAATTGTATGAATGCCATGAAGTTAACCAAGTTGTCGCATTTGGTTTTCTTGCAAACTTAATGTGTTTACTCGTCCGGCTTTCAATAAAAATTCTACCATAATTTATGCAGATCCCTCAAGATTTTAGGTCTTGCAAAAATGAAGGTTCTCCTTAAAGCAAAATTCAAGTAACGTTCCTAAAATCTCCAGAAAGATTAAGAGATGTATACTGTATTAATAGTATTAAGCAAGTGGCATGTGCGTAAGTGTATATAAATGAATCTTTTGCGTCATTACGGCAGCCATCTTTTATGGTGCCTCCGCCAAAGTATCCAGCATTAGTTTATGTGTTATTTGCCCACCCATATGGATGTTGGCTTTTGGGGAGGCAGGGCGTACATACCCACGTATGTGCCCCCGCATAAATCAGAGGCACTCCTGCATGACCCGGCCTCGTCCTTGTGTTGTTCTCACAAGTCTTAAGTAAAACGATGTTGTGATTAAAGTCCTCTTACTTGCAGAACAAGAAACGAGTGACGGCAAAGGGAGCTGGCCAAGACGAGGACGCAATTAACCAGACCGAAGTGGGCACACCCATAACAAAACAAGGAGGAGGGGAATTCGAAGGAGGTGGGAGCAATGCAAACTCAACGAAAATGTTGCATCTCCCCAAAGGATCAACATCTGTTGTCAAGGACACTGACACACAAAGGAGTCCCCTCATCCGTTGCATGAAATAATTTCGTTTAAATTAAGCTCCCTCCTGACAAAAAGGAGCAGCATTTTACGCGATTCCCGTCCCCGCGTAATGTTTGCTCACCCCTGTCCTGCCCCAGCTGGAATCTATCACTCAGGACTGCTGCAGCCACTGCTCCTGCTCCTCTTACTGCTCGCTTTTAGCAACTTCCGGCCGACTCATGGAGAGGTCTTCACGCTGGGTTACATCACGGCCTCGCAACGACGGCCGGGAAACCTGGACTACAACCGACCGGGTCTCACCATTTCCGGCGCCATCTCGCTGGCGGTGGAGGAGGTGAATGCCGGACGACTCCGGGATCGGGGTCATTCCCTTCAGTTCGTCGTGGCCGAAACTTACGGGGAGGAGGTGGTCAGCATCCGTCAAACGGCGGCACTGTGGACGCAGCAGGTGGCCGCCTACATTGGCCCTCAGGAAACTTGCGTACACGAAGGTCGCATGGCGGCCGCCTTTAACCTGCCCATGATATCTTATGTAAGTCAGCCACCACTTTGCATTTGTGCAATCTCCTTACTAATAAGTAATACCCTCCAGTACTGCACCCATCGGGATCCCTCGAACAAGGCTGATTTCCCCACCTTTGCCAGGACACGTCCCCCGGACACCCAGATCTCCAAGTCCGTAGTGGCCCTTTTGCTGGCCTTTAACTGGACGCAAGTGAGCTTCCTTTACTTGGACGACGCCAGTGGTCAGTATCAGCCCGTGGCGGAGACCATCCTGAGCACACTGACTGATGCCGGAGTCAGTATCCGGGACATTCGCACTTGGAATACCATCTACCATCACGGATTTATGGATAATCCTTTTGAGGCGCTGGTGGAGCAGACCTATGCCAACACGAGGAGTAAGTAGGTCCTGAAGTGCAAACTAAACGCATGCTAATCACATTTCATATGCCAATAGTCTACCTCATTTTGGGTCACTACTATGAGCATGTCGGGCTGATGGTTAGTCTCCAAAGAAGAGGAATTCTGTCGAAGGGCGACTATTTCGTAGTGGGCATAGACATCGAACAGTATGATCCGGCCAAGCCCGAAAAGTATTTGCGAGGACTCCTGCTGGAAGATGTGGAGCCCTTGGCCGTGCAGGCCTTTCAGTCATATCTGGGCATTGTCCCAACGGCGTCCGTCTCCTTCGCCACTTTTGCCAACGAGGTTTGTCCGCTGACGGGTCCTGACAGTGATGTGATTGATGCGCTGCATCCGCCTTTCGCACGTCTCATAATTGTCGGGCCTTTCGCCACATTGACCACACATTCTGACCCTCATTTCGTTTTGGTTTTGCAGGTCAACAAATACATGGAGCGACCGCCATTCAATTTCCCCAATCCGCTGGGTCCCTTCGGCGGCGTAAAGCAGGTTCGCCTCCCACGAAACCAAAGACGAAACCGAAAACCATTGACTGACCTCCAACCTCTTCCCTTCCTTGCCAGATAAGCGCCGAAGCTGCCTATCTCTATGATGCCGTGCATCTCTACGCGAAGGCCTTGATGGAAGTCCTGGATTCAGGCGGAAGACCCAGGAACGGCAGCGCCATTGTGGCGGCCATCAAGGGCTCGCGATATCGCAGCGCCATGGGGTGAGTGTTGGCATACTCGTATGTGACAGCTAATCCGGCAATTGCGCTAACACACATTTCTATTTTTGTTTTAGCTATCACGTCTACATCGATGAGAACGGCGATGCAGCTGGAAATTATACAGTATTAGCGAGAGGATCCGTGCGGAATGGTCGCAATCAGACTGTGCTGGGCCTGCGACCCGTGGGAACCTTCATCCACCGGAACAGTAGCTTCAGCAGCATCAGCAAGGCGTTGCCCGTAAGTAAATCCCTGTTTTTCTCATACGTACTCCTGTAACTTGCTCTCTGCCACTCCTCCATAAATCGCTTGACCCGTGCAGCACCAGGTAAGCGCTTCTGCCTGGCACAATTAATCACACACCTCTTTTGTTTTACCTTCTGTGCTTTGATTTAATCCTGGCTTCCATTGGTTTACCGCAGGATCTCAAACTATTCATCCCCATCGACTGGGTGGGTGGCACGCGACCAGCAGCTGCTCCTCGGTGCGGATTTGGTGGCGAGAAGTGCGTTAGTGAGTATTGTAGTTTACTAACCAATACTGTGTGTTTACCCACCTCCGTCTCTCAAATCGCAGATTATACTGGGGAAATTTCAGCGGCCATTGCAGGCGGTGCCCTATTGCTGCTCAGCTTGGTCTCGCTGGTCCTCTATCGCAACTGGCGGTACGAGCAGGAACTGGACAGTCTGCTCTGGAAGATAGACTTTCGCGAGGTGCAGATCCATGAGAACGAACGGGAACAGCAAAGTCAGAAGCAGACGCGCGTAAGTCCCAGTCCCTGTCATCTTAGTGCTATGGCAGTGACGCATAGCCTAATGGCAGACAGAACACTCAGAAAAAATTGGCTTCACAGTGAAAAATTATCAATGGTTAAAAATCCCCTCAACTTCTATATGTAGGTACTGTTACACAAAGAATTTGTTCTAAATTTAGCCATGTTTGTCAAATTACTTAAATCCATGTATCCATTGAGAAACTAAGAATCACTTGAATAACAAAGTGGATTCTAGGAAATACTTTTGAAGTGCATGCAGACGGACCATTTATGCTGCATGTGTTATTCTGTGAGAATATGTCAGAAAAGGCTCTTATATTCCTTCTGTTAAAGACTCTTCTCCGGCCATTGCATGTCTGACAACAGCACTTGCTAAATCACTTGCCGCGTCGTCTTCCTCCGCAGTCCACCCATCCGCTGATCCGCACCAGCCAGGTGAGCCTGAGCTCCAATCCGGACGCCGACTTCCGGTATACGACAATCTTTACGCCCATCGGACTGTACAAAGGTCAGCTTTACGCCATCAAGAAGGTGCGAAAGAAGAGCGTGGACATAACCCGGGAAATGAAGAAGGAGCTCAAGCTGGTAAGCCGGATAAGTATGGTAAACCATAATCTCTTTAAAATTTCAAAACCTATTCCAGCTGCGGGATGCCCGCCACGACAATATTTGCGCCTTCATAGGCGCCTGCACGGATCCGCCAAACATCTGCATCATCAGCGAGTACTGCACCCGAGGCAGCCTTAAGGTCAGTCGGTCAACCAGTTCCCTGTAAGACCCAAAGCGACTCCCACTTCCTTTCCGTTGCAGGACATTCTGGAGAACGAGGACGTCAAGCTGGACAACATGTTCATTGCCTCCATGGTGGCAGACATTATACGCGTGAGTGCTGTAACATTATACTAATGGCAACCCACCCAGTGACCTCTTTCCCCATCCTGGCAGGGCGTCATCTATTTGCACGACTCGCCCATTCGCTTCCATGGCGCTCTGTGCACCTCCAACTGCCTGGTGGACTCCCGATGGGTGGTCAAGCTAACGGACTTTGGCCTCTTTGCTTTCAAGCAAGGGATCGAAGACAGCTCCACGGATATGCAGCATATGTCGGCCAAGTGTCTGAGTGAGTTCACTTTTGAAATAATCGTCTTTAAATTTCTAAAATACCTTCTGTGTTCCAGAGCTTCTTTATCGAGCACCTGAGCTGCTGCGACAGGGTCCATCCTCGCTGGTCATGGGCACACAACGCGGGGATGCCTATTCCTTTGGCATCCTCCTGTACGAGATGCACGTCCGTAGAGGACCCTTTGGCGAGACGGGTCTGACGCCCATGCAGTGCCTGCAGAAGGTTCTTCAGCCGCAGGATTACCTAAATCCATACAGACCATCCCTGCAACCGCTGGAAACGGCCTTCGACTGCGTCAGCGAGTGCCTGAGAGAATGCTGGGCGGAGAGACCAGAGGATCGTCCAGATTTCAAAACCATTCGCACCAAACTGAGGCCTCTGCGAAAGGGAATGAGGCCCAACATTTTCGACAACATGATGGCAATGATGGAGAAGTATGCCAACAATTTGGAGGCCCTAGTGGATGATCGTACGGATCAATTGCAGGAGGAAAAAAAGAAGACCGATGCCCTGCTGCACGAGATGCTGCCGCGCTGCGTGGCTGACCAGTTGAAGAAGGGTCACAAGGTGGACCCCGAACACTACGAACAGGTCAGCATCTACTTCAGCGACATCGTGGGCTTCACAGCGATGTCCGCCGAGTGCACCCCGTTGCAGGTGGTAGATTTCCTCAACGATCTGTACACCTGCTTCGACTCCATCATTGGCCACTATGATGTTTATAAAGTTGAAACTATCGGAGATGCTTACATGGTGGTCTCTGGACTTCCGCTGCGCAATGGTGACTTGCATGCAGCGGAAATCGCCACCATGTCGTTGCACCTACTCAGTGCCGTATCAGAGTTTAAGATCCGTCACCGGCCCACAAACCGCTTGCTCCTGCGGATTGGCATACACTCGGGTCCCGTTTGTGCGGGTGTTGTGGGCCTAAAGATGCCACGTTACTGTCTTTTCGGAGATACTGTAAATACTGCTTCCCGCATGGAGTCCAGTGGTGTTCCCCTGAAGATTCATTGCAGCTGGCAGTGCCGTCAATTGCTAGAGAGGCTGGGTGGCTATCACTTCGCGGAGCGAGGCGTCATCTCCATGAAGGGAAAAGGTGATCAGCGCACGTACTGGCTGCTGGGGGAAGATGAGGAGGCACGCACTCGTCGGACCTATGAGCGATCTCAGAGACGCGGATCCAGGGCACTCAACAAGTTCATCCAGGGCACCATAAAGCAGGCCCAGGAACAGGCCAACGAGTACGGAATACGCTCCTCCCTTAAACAGAAGAATCTGCCCAGAAACTCGCTGACCCGCTCTTCCAGTCTGGAGTCACCCAAGAAGCTGCGGTTTGCAGCTGGTAGCCTCCTGGAGCATCATCGCTATCACAGGTTTGACAAATTAACATTGACAATCTGCTCAAGGAATGACAAAAATCTATTTTTCCATTAGTGACGAGGCGCTGCTGGAGGTGGACTCCTACACAGGCTTGCGCCGTTCCTCCGGAGGATCCACACAGTCGCGCTATGAGGAGACGACCCTATCGCTGACTCTGTCCTGTCAAAGTATTGAGATCGTGGGCGGTCAACATAGTAAAAGGCGACCCTCCTCTTATCCCACTGCCAACACGCCGCTGCTGATGAACCACGTGGAGGTTTAAGGCAGTGGCCTAGTACTTATTTAGCCCAGATACAGGGATCTTAGTGGAATTTGTGTTCAGTATGTTTAGCCAAGTATTTGTATCGCTTTTAGTGTCGTACGCAGATAAATAATCCTTGGAGTCTGTCATATAATTGTGGTAACTGTAGCATCAGCATATTGTGAGAGTGATTATAAATCTAGTCGTTGTTTAAACACATTCATGCGCTAACCTAAATCAATTTAAAATAGTCAATAACCTAAAGTAAATTATACAAATAAAGAGTAACAAATAAACGGCTATTTCCTAATATCCAGGATATCCAGGGTCATTTTTATTATGTTCTATATTGCAATTAAGATCCATTTTAATTTTGCGTCTTGGAGACAGTTGCTTTTATTATTGTATATTAATTGTATTAATTTGACAAACTTAACGATTTATTTTTTATATAACTTTAGTTTAAAACCGATTTGTGCATTTCTCTAGGCATTATAAATACAGTATTTGATTCATCGCCGTTCGTCTTCATATGTATTTGTGTATCTCCGAACCATTTATATTTTGTCAAAGCCAGCTTGAAAAAATGTCTCAAATGTCCTTTAGATTGTTTTCGATATTCTAGGAAAGATTGTAAATAATTTTACATCCCTATCGATTATAATTTGAATTGTGTTTTGGTTTCATTATGATAAGCCACAAGCTTTAAAGCACACTTTAATGCGATTTGTTTGTTTTTTTTTTTAGTTAAATTTTGTTTGTGATCTAATGTGGAAAAATCCGCGTATTGCTTTTCATCTCGAGTTTTTCGTTTGTCTAGTGTGTGGAAGAAAGAGGGTGGGGTGAGCTAATAAACTTTGTTTATATATTCAATGCTACACAATGCAACAACTCTAAATAACAATCTCAAATCTCGAATGTCAATACTATATCAACTAGGTATGAATGTATATAACGCTTGCCTTGGGGTTTCCCAATTAGTTTTGGTTCGCTATCAAAATATTTGCAACAACAGTGGATGTAATCAAAAATACGCAATTGTACAATTCTCAATTATTGTTCGACTGTCTCCACAATCGCTCGCACGCGCCATCCTTCGGTACAAAACTAACAAATGGCCATAACCAGGAGGCCGGGGAATCAGTCCTTCCAAAGGGACCGACAACAAATCTGCTCGTATAAATAAATACGCTATATAATATACAGTAAATATGTGTGTATATGTATATGTCGGTATTTCTTAAATGCGTCTCTGAAAAATAATCTCTCAACATTTGATTTCTTGATTCTTGATTCAGGCTGCACTCGAAGGCGAGTGCCCCGAATGCGGTTTAAAAATTGATCAACAACTTTTAGCAGCCAAAGCCGGAAACGAAGGATTCCTCAGCCCAAGCATCTAACAACAGTAAGCTACTCAAGGATCCTACGAATCCCAAGCGGGAATCCATGGTCCCCTTCCAAACAAGTCTGCAGGTCACGAGCGCATTTTGCCAAAGGGTGCAAGTCGCTTAAGGATTACAGATTATATGCAGTGGCTGCCAATGCAACTCGCTTTACAAAAAAACCTCCTCGCCAGTTGACGGCTTGCTCTGGACTTCATCTCGGCTTCTTCACCAGGCTGGTGGATCTGTGGTGGCAGGAAATGTGGGTTATTGGCTGCAAATAGCTGCAGGACATTCACCACTCACCTTTTTACGCCATGACGTGGACTGGCGGGAGGAGTGTGGCAGGGTGAGGGTGGAGCCGAGCCTCCCGACGAGCCTCTCGACGAGGATATAGATAGTGTGGAGGCTCTTGGTGCCGAACAGCCCAGGTATATAGCCGATCCCTTGTCAGCATCCCGCAAATCCACTCGGGAACCGTGGACGGAGGAAGGAACCGATCCTGTGAGAGGTCAGGAAATGACATTTTAATGTATACCTAAAAAATAGACTTGCAAAAGAATCTACCTAAGTTGTCTGTAAACGATGAAGCATCTGAGTTCTTTAATCGACATTTTTTTAAATATTAAAAACAAAAATAAAAAGTAATATACTGAGAATGCGTCATCGCTTACAACCAACTTAAGGACCTCACTCACCCGTGTAGGCGTGCAGTCCAGCCGGACTACTCCGTGGACGCACTCCGAAACCGCTGACCGTGCTGGCACTCCGCTGCAGCTGAGCGGAGCCATTTCCCTCCCTGGCCGCCGACTCCCTGCGACTGCCGGCGCTACTCACCCGAGGCGCTTCTCTCGAGGAGTTGCCCGGCCGGGGAGAGCGCTGACTCCTGGACAGCTGCTGCTGGCGCTGCTCCTGCTCGCGGCGAGCATCCTCGAAGGCGGCGGCATACTCGGCCGCCTCGCGGGACGTGGTGGGCGGCTGTTCCAGGACGATCTCGTCCTCAGGAATGCGCTCGTTGCCCACGGAACGACGGACCATGGGCAGCGGTGAGTTCTTGGGCGATGTGGGGCAGGATTGGGCGGCTACACTGCTCACGCTGAGCGAACTGGACGAGACGTTGGCGTTGGAGGACTGGGCACGCAGACGCGAGTGCGTGGAGGTGTTGGAGGGACGACGTCGGAACAAGCCCTTGGTGGGGTCCATGTTGCAGACGCCTGCGCAGAAAGAAAAATCGATGGCATGATCATCAATATGAGTTTCAAAGCATTTCGGACATTTTTTGAAGGTTATTTGGAAAAGATTACAACTTTTTTGAAATGAATCTAATTTTCTTTCTGGTTCGTCATAGGAAAGTAAAACATAAATTATGCGAGACTTGAAGCAGATGGGTGTTTTATTGATGGTAACTATGGACTCCTAAGACAGCTGGTTTCAGGATTAAGGTTTTGCCAGACGTCGTCTTTTTAACTTCGATGTGGCCTTGGCTTCCAACATCGTTGAAGTCTTGGAAGTAATATACAATTCTTCATCATTGTCCGAATCCACATTCTTGACAAAACGGCCCTTGTTGCAATCCGGATCGTAGTAACGCACATTTGGCATAAGCTCGTTGCCCAAGCTGAAATCCGATGAGGGGTCATCTCTCAAGTCCTTGTCGAAGGTACTCCGCTCCCATTGGTCCACCGCAAAGTTGAGAGTATAAGCCACGCTTCGCCTGACCTTGCCCAAGCCTTCGCCCTCGCCTTCACCCTCGTCTTCTTCCGCCCCCTGACCAATATTACTCCCATCGACGTCCTGGCTCGCACCTGTTGGACATTTTTCGCCGCGGGAGCAGTTACCCTCGCAGATGTCGCGGTTCTGCAGCAGCTCCTGGTAGTTGTCCAGCGCGGTGGCCACCTTGGTGCGATCAAGTTGCTCCAGAGCCGAGGATGGGAAGCGCTCCCTCAAGCGCCGCCTTTCCTCGGGCAGCTTAAACTGCTCAAACTCCTGCAGCTGGCTCTGGAATCCGGCATTGGGATTGGCAACAGCGCGACCAGCGCGAACCACCTTTAGCGCCTCCTTCCAGTTCAAGTGTGTGGCCGTCATAATATAAGCCACGGCCACGGTCACCGAGCGCGACATCCCCGCCAGGCAGTGGATGAGCACGTTGCCTTCGCGAAGTCGAGCGGCGTGAATGAAGTCGTTGCAGACGGAAAAGTACTGGGAGAGATTCTGGTCAGGCGTATCCGAGGCCATCACGCACAGGTAGTGCTTGTCCTAGGATGGGGAAATAACTTAAAAGGACATCCGAAGAGTGAAGTGCATGAATCACTTACCGGCAGCAGACGCCGCGGACTGTCATGTATGGCGATGATGTGCGAGATCTTGAATCTTTCCAGCTGAGTATGATCCTTGGAGTCGCGGTAGTTGCCCACATAAAGTCCCGGCAAGACCTACAGAAACAGGAAGAAGAAACCATGTGGTTCAGGGATTAGGCTCTGGCTGCTCCGTGTTTACCTTTCCCATGTGCCAGTTCATTTTGTGGCGATCAGATAGCAAAATGATGTGGTTTGGTGTGCCTACGATTTAGAGTGCTGTTCATGGAGACGGAAAAGTGGTAGCCTGTTTTATTGGTTTTCTTGCATGTTGTTCAGTTGCTGTTGCCTTTGACAAGTTGCCGTGACAACAATCGTAGGCTCAGACCGAAAAGTTGGTACCAATTCCACTTATTGCGGAACCAGTTTGTTTATCGATATTTAATCACCGATCTATACGGCCAAACTGTCGGTGCAGTCAAACATTACTTGCTTTTCAAAGCCGGAGACTAAATACTCTGACAGCTATTTCAATATCTTAAGAAAGTCACTACAATAACATAAAGTCCACCCACTAAAGGGTAAAGAGCTGATCATTATTGCCTAATTCAAAATGAAAGTGCATCTTTAGTTTGCAGCAACAAAGCTAGTTGTTCATATTTCTGCTTATGGCTGTTATGTGATATTCATTAAAAAAAAATATATTTTTTTATATGGATGTCGTGGGTATGCAGGGCTTGACCATTTTAGACCTGGAACTACTGCAATTATGGCTGCCTAACTTTTGTGTAGGACCTTGAAAGCGGTTGTCACCGGCTTCTGTTTGTGTTTTTGTCAGCCATAAATCTTGTCCTCGTTCTTACCTTGTTCATGCCATTCCCCATGTTTCTTCATTTAAAAGTTGCGGCTCACTTCCTCAATTGTCAAACGAATTGGCCCGAAAGCATTGCTGAAATGTTAAGAAGCAGAGGAAGAGAATCCTTTATTTGACAAGTTCAGGCGCAAAATTCCTGGCGAAGGCCAAGAGGAAATGGCAGTGTGATTGTGATGGTGATTGCGAGTGTGGGTTTCGGGGCAGCTAAATGCTTTTGTTGTGGGCTGTGATGAAAGTGCAAGTGGCAAATGTTGCAAGCTGTTGCCACTGCCATGGCCAAACCATAATGGATGTCTTTGTCGCCGCCTTCGTCGCGGAAGTAAACAGACCTTGGCGTTGGCTCGCCTGCATCTCATTAGTGGGACAGTCAGACAGATAGACAGACAGTTTGTCCTGGTATTGGGGCTCGGATTTCGGTTCGGAATGGGCCGAAATGCCAGAGGCTAAGCACCACCAACTGGCCTACACCTGCTGTTTGGCCCCCAAAAGTGGGCAAGGTTAGGAGACGGGGTCCTTGCAACAGTTGGTTGGGCTCGCTTTCCTTTTTCCCCTGCTTTTTTCCTGCCCCTCTAAGTTTACCCCCTCTAAGGACACTGGCAAAGGCCTCATCGCAAAGTCAAGACGTGGGCAGCCCACCACCACCCATGAGCCTACGTTGTGTAACACACTCGGATACCCATCCTTTGGGTGCACTTGGAATCCGACACATTTGCATAAGTTGTCTCGCGTTGAGGCAATGGGCAAAGTGTCGCTTTGTTGTAATTTCATT